CAATTTTCAGATATTTTTGCGATATTTACAATTTTTGCATTTTTCAGGAATTTTTCCAATTTTCATGAATTTTTGCAATTTCTGCAATTTTTGCAATTTTCAGGATTTTTCCGGAATTTCTGCAATTTTCGCATTTTTCAGGAATTTTTGCAATTTCTGCAATTTTTGCAATTTGCAATTTTCAAGAATTTTTGCAATTTTTGCAATTTTCAGGCAAAAATTCCTGAAAATTGCAAAAATTGCAGAAATTGCAAAAATTCATGATAATTGGAAAAATTCCTGAAAATTGGAAAAATTTCAAAAATTCCTGAAAATTGTAAAAATCGCAAAAATGTCTGAAAATTGCAAAAATCGCAAAAATGCCTGAAAATTGCAGAAATTGGAGAAATTGCAAAAATTCATGAAAATTGGAAAAATTCCTGAAAATTGAAAAAATTTCAAAAATTCCTGAAAATTGGAAAAATTCCTGAAAAATGCAAAAATTGTAAAAATCGCAAAAATGTCTGAAAATTGCAAAAATCGCAAAAATGCCTGAAAATTGAAGAAATTGCAAAAATTCATGAAAATTGGAAAAATTTCAAAAATTCCTGAAAATTGGAAAAATTCCTGAAAAATGCAAAAATTGTAAAAATCGCAAAAATGTCTGAAAATTGCAAATATCGCAAAAATGCCTGAAAATTGCAAAAATTGCAAAAAGTCTTGAAAATTGCAAAAATTCCTGAAAATTGCAAAAATTCCTGAAAATTGCAAAAATTGCAGAAATTGCAAAAATTCATGAAAATTGGAAAAATTCCTGAAAAATGCAAAAATTGTAAAAATCGCAAAAATGTCTGAAAATTGCAAAAATCGAAAAATGCCTGAAAATTGCAAAAATTGCAAATTAATAGTCTTGAAAATTGCAAAAATTTCTGAAAATTGCAAAAATTGCAGAAATTGCAAAAATTCCTGAAAATTGGAAAAATACCTGAAAAATGCAAAAATTCCGGAAAATTGTAAAAATTGCAGAAATTGAAAAAAATTGGAAAAATTCCTGAAAATTGTAACAATTTCAAAAATTCCTGAAAATTGGAAAAATTCCTGAAAAATGCAAAAATTGTAAAAATCGCAAAAATGTCTGAAAATTGCAAAAATCGCAAAAATGCCTGAAAATTGCAAAAATTGCAGAAATTGCAAAAATTCATGTAAATTGGAAAAATTCCTGAAAAATGCAAAAATTGTAAAAATCGCAAAAATGTCGAAAATTGCAAAAATCGCAAAGATGCCTGAAATTTGCGAAAATTCTTGAAAATTGCGAAAATTCCAGAAAATTGGAAAAATTCCTGAAAATTGGAAGAATACCTTAAAATCGAAAAAAAAATTCCAATTTTCAGGAATTTTTGAAATTTTTTTAATTTTCAGGTATTTTTCCAATTTTCAGGAATTTTTCCAATTTTCATGAATTTTTGCAATTTCTGCAATTTTTGCAATTTTCCGGGATTTTTGCAAATTTCAAGAATTTTCGCAATTTTTGCAATTTTCAGGCATTTTTGCGATTTTTGCAATTTTCAGACATTTTTGCGATTTTTACAATTTTTGCATTTTTCAGGAATTTTTCCAATTTTCATGAATTTTTGCAATTTTCAGGAATTTTCGCAATTTTCAAGAATTTTTGCAATTTTTACAATTTTCAGGCATTTTTGCGATTTTTGCAATTTTCAGACATTTTTGCGATTTTTACAATTTTTGCATTTTTCAGGAATTTTTGAAATTTTTCCAATTTTCAGGAATTTTTCCAAATTTTCATGAATTTTTGCAATTTCTCCAATTTTTGCAATTTTCCGGCATATTTGCGATTTTTGCAATTTTCAGACATTTTTGCGATTTTTACAATTTTTGCATTTTTCAGGAATTTTTCCAATTTTCAGGATTTTTTGAAATTGTTACAATTTTCAGGAATTTTTCGAATTTTTTTCAATTCCTGCAATTTTTACAATTTTCCGGAATTTTTGCAATTTTTGCATTTTTCAGGAATTTTTCCAATTTTCAGAAATTTTTGAAATTTTTTCAATTCTCAGGTATTTTTCCAATTTTCAGGAATTTTTCCAATTTTCATGAATTTTTGCAATTTCTGCAATTTTTGCAATTTTCTGGAATTTTTGCAATTTTCAAGAATTTTTGCAATTTTTGCAATTTTCAGGCATTTTTGCGATTCTTGCAATTCTCAGACATTTTTGCGATTTTTACAATTTTTGCATTTTTCAGGAATTTTTCCAATTTTCAGGAATTTTTGAAATTGTTACAATTTTCAGGAATTTTTCCAATTTTTTTCAATTTCTGCAATTTTTACAATTTTCCGGAATTTTTGCAATTTTTGCATTTTTCAGGAATTTTTCCAATTTTCAGGAATTTTTGAAATTTTTTCAATTCTCAGGTATTTTTCCTATTTTCAGGAATTTTTCCAATTTTCATGAATTTTTGCATTTTCTGCAATTTCTGCAATTTTCTGGAATTTTTGCAATTTTTTCAATTTTCAGTCATTTTTGCGATTTTTGCAATTTTCAGACATTTTTGCGATTTTTACAATTTTTGCATTTTTCAGGAATTTTTCCAATTTTCAGGAATTTTTGAAATTGTTACAATTTTCAGGAATTTTTCCAATTTTTTGCAATTTCTGCAATTTTTAAAATTTTTCGGAGTTTTTGCAATTTTTGCATTTTTCAGGAATTTTTTCAATTTGCAGGAATTTTTGAAATTTTTCCAATTTTCAGGAATTTTTGAAATATTTCCATTTTTCAGGAAATTTTCCAATTTTCATGAATTTTTGCAATTTCTCCAATTTTTGCAATTTCCAGGAATTTTTTGAAATCTTTAGGAATTTTTGCAATTTTTGCAATTTTCAGGCATCTTTGCAATTTTTGCAATTTTCAGGAATTTTTGCAATTTCTGCAATCTTCAGAAATTTTTGCAATTTTCAGGAATTTTTGCAATTAATGCAATTTTCAGACATTTTTGCGATTTTTGCAATTTTCAGGCATTTTTGCGATTTTTGCAATTTTCAGGAATTTAGGAATTTTTACAATTTTCCGGAATTTTTGCAATTTTTGCATTTTTCAGAAATTTTTCCAATTTTCAGGAATTTTTGAAATTTTTACAATTTTCAGGAATTTTCGCAATTTCTGCAATTTTCAGGAATTTTTGCAATTTTTGCAATTTTCAGGCATTTTTGAGATTTTTGCAATTTCTCCAATTTTTGCAATTTTCAGGAATTTTTGCAAGTTTTGCAATTTTCAGGAATTTTTGCAATTCATGCAATTTCTGCAATTTTCAGAAATTTTTGAAATTTTTGCAATTTTCGCTATTTCTGCAATTTTCAGGAATTTTTGCGATTTTTGCAATTTTCAGGCATTTTTGCGATTTTTGCAATTTTCAGGAATTCTTAAGAATTTTTACAATTTTCCGGAATTTTTGAAATTGTTACAATTTTCAGGAGTTCAATCCTTATTCAATTCTGGTGATAAACACTAGATTTTTGACATTCGTTGTTTTTTAGGTAATATTCAGGTCACTGGCGAATCATACCACGTAATTTCCCTATGAAATTCCTGATTCAACTATACCAAGATATAGATGAACAATCCTCTAGCTTTAGAGTTTACTACTCCAGCATAATCTTTGCGATTTAGGGAACATATAAATTGTACTGAAAGCTTAATATATTTCACCACGAGACTGTTCTTAGACTGTTTACCAGGGTTGACTGAATTGACTGAATGAATTCTGATTTCAAGCTGAGCAGTAGTTTATTTTTGAGCTGAATGAGCTGAGCCTTGTGATTGAGAAATGGTGGAAACCTCGATGTGGGTATCTGGACTACTGTACTCATGTCATGTGTACTAAATATATTTTCAGAAATCCAACTCGGAGAGGAATTTATGGAGTTACTAATATCACACTATGTATAAAACTTCGTCTAGGACAAAAGTAGGCTGATAAAAATCAATACGTAAAATGTGCACGAAAATAATGTATAGAATATATACTTCACCCCCATGTTATACATATGATTTTTCCGTCTCTTTTAAATGAAAAGTCATTTTCGAATAATTTATTGATGAAAGTAATGAAGAAGTATACGCAGTATAACTTATAGGCACGTTATTCTCACTCTTGCATCCTACATAATAATATTCTCTATTTGTGGTAGAGTAATAATTATATAAACTAATGTCTTTCGCCATATTGGATCCGTCATCTTGAATTTTTCAATTTTGCCGAAACAATCATTATCTCCTACTCCAGATACCAATTTTGAATAGAATCGGGTCTTCATTACAAAACTCGTCCACCATATTGGATCCGCTATCTTGAATTTCCCAATTTTGACAAAAAATCATAAAGTTCGACCCCGAAAACTCTCAGATACCAATCTTTAATAGAATCAGATCATAATTAGAAATGTCTTTTGCTATAAATATTGTATCCGTCATCTTGAATTTTTCAAGTTTGACGAAAAAATCATCATCTCCAACCCTGGAAAATCCCACATACCTTCCAATTTTGAATAGAATCGGATCATAATTATAAAACTCGTTCGCCATATGATCTTCCTCAACAAGTAAATACCCTGTACATACCTATTATTAAAATTTTGAATGATTTTCTGTAGCGCCCATGGATGTGACGTGACAGCAATGTCAGGGATGCCAGTAGACAAAACTAAAATCTCTAGATCATTAAAAAAGAATGCAACTATGATCTGTCCTTACCCTGTAAAGATGACTTAAACGTCAATTTCCATCAAGGGATGGACGGACACACCAGAGGAATTATAAACATCTCACTCTTGGTCATTTTATGATTCACATTTTGTAATTCGCATTGTTACCTAGCGCGAAATGAATGTGACATCTCAGGGATGTTTGTGTTGAATGGGACTGTATGTTGGATTAAGCAACTAGTATTGCAGTCCAATTGATTGCCTTCCCAAACGCCTGTGATGGTTTTACATGAAATAGCAATAGTAAAGCTTACAAGTTTTTAATTCATCACCATAATAGGTACAACAAACAGTGATTTGATAAAGGTATCATATAATATTCGACCATTTTTCATGGTCACAGATGGCAAGTCAGTTTCTGGAGATTTCCTGGGCGTCCTCTAGCGATTCTACTTTTCAACCTGAAATATTCCTGAAAATAAATTTTATTTTACAGACTCTCTGAATAATATTCACTATTTTCACATACATTGAAAACACTGATACCATTCGAACTTGTGAAGTTCATCGTTTTCATCAGCAAAGCAGTGACCTCTCTGGCAAGACCTTCTTGTATCGTATTTTCAACATTTATATAGTGGCAGTCGGACGCTGCATAATGACATGATATTGCTTTCCTAAATCCCTAAAATTTTAGGGAATCAGGTTTGCTTCACAGAAAAAAATGTTTATAAAATCAATGATGGTATGTTTCATGGAATATCTTCGGGAGTTATTCGAAATAAATGAATCATTCTAGGAGACATACCTATTATTTCATTCACCTACCTTTGTCGAATTCTGACCCGACCCGTGAAATAATAAGGGATGGAAAAATATTGTATCACCTTTTTCCATTATAACGTTAACTCTTGGAAGATGATCCATTCCTTGGATTCCAAGGTACAGAAAGTGTTTCTGGCCCTAAAAATTTATTTTTTACTTAAAGAGGAGGGGCACTACTTGACGCCTGTAAATTATAAAAGGTAATACCACAAGTCCTTCAATTTTTTTCATCGATTATCTTTTCATTTCCATTTGGCATTTGGACTGATGATTTTACCTAAATTTTAAAACTGTCCACACTATTTTGTTGATTAGAACTATTTCAGAAATTTTGATACACAGCTGATGCTGATTCTAAAATGCCTGCTCATCTTATTTTTCAAAATTCTCGTCCAAAATTATGCATGCCATATTTGACAGATAATACTTCGGCTATCGCTTTGATGAAGTCATAATTGGACGTTATCTCACATGGTAATTTATAATGCACAGCAAATGTTTACCTTTTCGGATGGTCGAAAGTTTGTTATTTCAAATGGATCACCCTGTATATTTCAGTGGAATTCTTTTTGATTTTTCATCCTGATTATCAAATTGCGTACTAGACCAAAATTATAGTAATGATCAATGATTGTTCAGTTTAATATGGCGTGTAATAAAAGTTGCATCTCGAACAAAATATACAGGGTGTTCCATTTGAAGAAACATAGTTATCACCTTTCGAAAAGGTCAGTATTGGATGTTCATTTTAAATCTTCCTGTAAGATAACTCTCGATAATTATGACTTCATTCAAGTGACAGTAACATTATAATTATATATGGTTGTAAATAAAAAGTTTCTATTCACTTACCCTCTAAAATGCATCAGATACAGGGTGAAATTTGAAAATAAAATTCGTTTCTTTTTAATATCTCTGGAACCGTTTATCTCTCAGAGAATAGCTATTGTAAGCATTTTCTACTCATAATTAATGAGCTATGTTTTGTGCGGAATTTTATTATTTTGTTGTAGAAATGGGGAGGAAAACACTCACTATATACCCCTTCAAAATCATCACCAATTAGGACCTAACAAAAATTAAATTCCTCACAGAACATAGCTTATTATGAGTAGAAAATGAATACGAAAGCTGTTTTTCGTGCGATAAACGGTTCCAAAAATATTCGCAAAGAAATGTTTTTTTTTTCAAACTCCATCACCCTGTATCTCGAAAATAGTGCATTTCAGAGGGTAAGTTAATGGAAACTTATTTCCATATTTTTGAACGAGCTATCACTTCCTGTGTAGTCCTGCGCATATCATGAAACACCCTGTATAAACAAACCTTGGGGTATTCATGCTGATATAGTTGGTCGAGTTTGTGAGATCCTGGCACAACATAGAGACATCCGTTTTTCTCATTGACATCCTCCATTGCTGTCCAAGTACCTACTATCTTGTCTGCAGGACGAAATGGGAAATAGTTCAAGTCCTATGAAATAAAAAACTTGAAACTACTTTCTACAAAAAAATAGTTATTCATGGTACTAGTGTGTTATGTTGAAAATAAGTCACACGAGAAATACAGTCTGTCCAAGATAAGGTTGAACAGCATGGGGATCTCGAAAACGGTAGGAGATACAAAGTCGGTTAAATGGGGAAAAAGTTGCACATTCGGAGGCTCATATCAAGAGCCTTCGAGAATTTTCAAAATTATTTCAAAATTATTTCTAGCTTTTGAGTTGTATCGAAAAAAGTGAATTTTTGGAATATCTATTTTATTTTTCTCCTCCGTTATTATTAGAGATACAGAAGAACTGAAAATACTTTTTCGTAGCAACTTTTGATGACGTTTAACGTGGTGGTATCGATTTTTTTATGCGACGTTTCGTATCCGTAGAACCATCATCAACTTTTGTTTTTTAAATACGGTCCTGATAATTTTTTCACAGATTCTGAAAGGATTTTTTATTTTGAATTCAACCATGTATTATACAAGATGATTCGAATGTGTTTCGACCTATTTCTATCCATCATCAATGTTATTTCGAAGTTCCAAAGGAAAAGTGCCATCAGTTCCACTTATTTCTGATCATTTAGTGTCAAACATTGATGGATTAGTTATTCAATACCGAGAAGTGAATAAAAAATATTTCACTACATCATTCAATGCAGCGCTTAAAATTGTTGATGAATTCTTATACGAAATACTTTAACAACTCAACTTTGACAATACCTACAGAAACATTCATAACAAATGTTCACAATGATAACCATTATTTTCTGAACAAAGATATCCTCTTCTAACAGTTGCTTCTAAGACATTACTAAGCATTTCTGGGGTTATTTTATTGAATGCTTCGATGACACTGTTCCTTAGTTCGTCTTCATCATCAAAGTTATTTGCGTATACAAAGTTTTTGATATATCCCCTAAGAAAAAATCCAGCTGTGTCAAATCGGCGACCGCGCCGGCCAAGGGACCGTAGAATGAGTACCAATCCATTTTTCTGGATAAAACGCACGGACTTTTCTGGAATTATGTACCGGATCTTGTTGAAACCAAAGTTCTGAACTAGTGAGTCATGGATTATAACACACTAGTGTGTTATTTGATAGTTTACTTGTTTAAAATGACATTAATGATGACAGTCCTTTGTTGGATAAAATTAAAAAATGCGGTGGTGGTTTTCACTACAGGGTTTTTTCTGAGGTGATATCAATAAATTGAACACGAAAAGTCCTCCATAAGCCACTCTAGGAGCAGCTCAGTAAATGTTTCATTTGTTCGTAAGTTTCACCACCACATTTTGTAAATGATTAGTGAACGTCTTACCTGATGCAAAGGATGTTTGGAGATATCTGGATCACTATCTGGCGGTTTGTTGATTACCATGGAATGCATTCCAGTTATATTTGGTCCTATAATGTTCTCCACGATATCGAGAACATCTTTGTCAACTGCATAATCCCACAGGACAGGGTCATATAGAAAATCTTGTATCTAAAATTAGCACGAGCAATAATTGAAAAACAAATAATTTGTTAAGAAATTGACAACATTGGAGCTGGAATATAAATAAGATTGCAAGAGGGACCTACTCACTTTATTGACAAGATATTGTCCTTTGGCACCTTTTTTTTTCAGGACAGGATCCTTGATTAGAGAAGTGATAGAGTCTTCAACATTATTTTCACAAATATCAATGAATCTCTGTCTGCAACAACAATTGAAAATATAGTAAGTATATGCGTTTTACAAGGAGGTAAGGTGACGATGTTTAGGAAAATACGTGTAGTTGACTAGTTGAAATATCTTACAATAATTTATCCAGCAACACATGGCTAACGTTGTTTTTTATCACTATGTATCCGTTTTTTTCGTAGAACAACTTTTGGTCCTCCGTAAAAGTAGAATTTTCGTGAGTGTACCTGTATTTCCTCTGAAATTGAAATTAAAAACAATAGAGCGTTTAACTCAAATATCAATGTTGATGCTCGAATTAAATGGACCATTTGGCACTAGATACAATAACTTTTTTTCTGTGACGGGAAAAAAATTTGGCATTTCATCTCTGTTGGCAGGTTATAAAATGTCACTTTTCATCAATTACTTTTTTCCCGTGGGAAAAAGTGAGTACTTTTTTCCCGGATATAAATCACATATACAGTGTCATTCATAAAGTCGGCATCATATGGAAAAAACTTTCAATGATAATTTATTTCGAAATACGACTTGAGCTTTGAGTTTTCCTCCAAAAAAGATGAAAAATAGCATACTCGGTCAGAATCACGTGACTTTCACTACATGTCAAAAATTTGATTTTTTCAAATTTATCGGTGAAATTAGTGTTCTTTGTTCGAATTTTGAAAACGTTACTAGGAAAATTTGTTTCTGAAATTTTACACATGTGTCTCGAATTTGAACGATCTATATTGCAACTGTTAGCTCTGAATATTTTTTGATTTCTTCTAGTAATTATTGTAACTTCGACAAAACTGTCCTAAACTTTGGTGAGATACGTAAAGTAGCTTGATGATATTTTGATAGGTGACCTTGGCATCATTTTAGTACTGAAAAAAAACATTTGAATTTTCGCTCCTGAATGCTAGACGATAGATCAACTTTGCATCAAACATAACAGAAATATGAAGCGTAAATTAGTATTTTCTGAAGAAAATCAAATTTTTGTCGATAATTAGTGATGGAAAGTTAATAGCATGATAAACCTACTAAAATGAAATAGACTTTTCGGAGAAAAGGAAAAAAATATCAAAAACACTTTTTCTTCATAATCTTTTCTGAAATTCAATCAAATGAGCCTTAATTTGAAGAATATTCAACTTTTGACAAGTAGCGAAAGTCACGTGACCCCAACCGAGTAGTTCATTTTTCGTATTTTTTAAAGTAAAACTTAACGAACAAAACGTATTTCAGAATGAATTATCATTGAAAGTTTTATCCATATGTTGATGGCTTTTGTTGTGCTATATATAGTTCCGAAAAATGAGTCATAATATCGTCTCCGAGAAAGAACTGCAAGTCCTTTTATCTTCCATTCGACTTCGCTGTAACGTATATTACTAAACAACTACTAAATCGCAATTTTTTGAAATCGAATCACAGAATTAGACTGACAGAAGTGACATCAGATATTTGATTACTTCAAAAGAATGATAAAGATGCTTACAACCGCACCTACTGTTGAAAACTTGAAATTTCACGTCGATAATTGTCAGATTTCAAAATATTGTGATATCTTCTTAATATTGATTCGTCCTTTCTTCTGTCACAGAAAAAAAATGTGTTTTATACACGGGAAAAATATTAGATTTTAGCTCACGCTACGCGTCGGGAGACAACACAACCTGGAGCTAAAATCTACTACTTCTTTCCCACTTTCCCTTGTATAATAAATAACTATTTTCACAAATTTTTGTAACAAATGAAGTAAAATGCGCTACTTACCCCATTTTCTACCAACTATCAATTCTGACTATTGACTGCAGCCTATTTAGATACCTACTACTACTTTTGTCAATAACTATTTTATGGCATGAGAGATTATTATTCATTCAAGCATCATTATATCAAATGGCTAATCAGAATCGGTTTAAGGACGAGTACAGGAATAATACAACTATACCACAACATGAAATATCGTGTACAATTTTATTTTCAACTTTGATAAATAGTTATTTTCTGCAATCGACACAAAAGTCGTCCATTTTGATACCAAAATTAGCTCTTGAATCAATGTTTCTATTACTGACACAAACATAGGTATGTTGCTAGGCAACACATTAAGTTCCTAGGAGTTAAAGTTGAACTCTAGTTCCTAGGAGCTAAAGTTAAACTTTAGCTCCTAGGAACTAAAAAAGATGTACTAGAGGTCATCAAGAACACAGTACATTGTTATGGTTGGTTATTTGGGTTGGGACGCATACCTGATTTTTTTTCGATTTCGACAGATTTAGCATATCATACTCACTCATCCTGAAGATATGAATACACCTTAATATAGTGTATGCGTATTCACACTAGTGTATATAATCAAGGGTATAGTTGAGTATTTTTGTTTTGATCAGGAAAGCCTTCAAGATTCACATACTTGCTTGATCTGTCAAGCCGACGAAATAATAATTTCGCTGTTTGTTGCAGCCGTAGAAAAAGTATAGTGTATAACTCGCACTGCCAATTTCCTACTCGTATGATTTGCAGCATTCGCCTGAAAACTTCATTCTCGTGAGTAATGACTATCATAACGTGTTCGTAAAACAATTTACTATTTCAGAACGATAAAATTTGAAAAAATGTATTCTTGATCTCCACAAGTCCACACTAATGCTTCCAATTTTATTATTTTTCGAAGATTTTCTGAACAGTTTTAAGGCCGTCATTTTTAATAAACACATTGGCCCATAATTAGCAACAAAAATGCATTTGAATGGTATGAACAACTCTTATGGTCTGCAATAATAAAAAAATATCCATTATTAAATTTAAACTGAAGATTGGATCAAATTATTAGAGCTTCAGATTTCCTCAATCCATTTTTAATTTCTTTCCAAATTGCTCGATTTGTTATTGATACTACAGGGTGACACATAATACTGTGCTATATTTCGAAAACATCGAAGGGCTCTGATTATTGGGAGAGATTTTTTTGTAATCTTTGCTGGAGTCAGAATTATTTCACACATTGAGTTTTCTTGTATTGGTTCTGGAATTTCCGAAATTATCACGAATTTTTCGGAAAAAAATGCATGATTTGTGGTTATTATTTCCATTAAGTGAAATTAACAAACTTTCTAACTCATACAGATGTTATAAGTTGAGGGTTATTAATATAGTTTAGAGACGGTTCTGTACAGAAACCCAAGGATAATGAAACAACTAATAATTAATTCAATTTTTTTGGGGACATTCTGCTTAAGTATTTGATTTTTCATATGTGTTAATTTATTCTTTTTTCTTGGCTGTTTCCATCTTTTGCATTATTATCTATTTCATTCAAATATACTTTAACATTGAATTTTCTCCTGATTGGATATTCCAAAAATCGAAGTAAACATATTTTCACATTTCGTTCCGAATGGAATAACATTTTCTCAATTAGGTATATTGTTTTTGGATGTATGACTAATTGATATTCATCATACAGGACGTGAATAGAAATTCTGAATTGAGAAAACCTAATCACGAATCTGCGATTAAAGGTCTATAAAAATTTCTATCGTTCAAGTTTGCTAGTTTGAACTCCTTGATTGGATGAAAGATATTCTCAGAAAAATTATGAACATGGAAAAAATGGTTATATAAATAGAGAAAACATTAAGAATTCGCATTCTCTATGTGATGAAACTATCAATTCTTCCTCTATCTTATATTTATTTATTTATTTATTTATTTAATGAAAATGGGATACAAACAGGCAGAAGCCCAAAACTGCATCGACTAGTTAAACAGAATACTCTGATGCTTACATTTTACAAAGTTAATATCACAATAGTATTGAATATTCAGTACCTGAAGATAAAACAAAAATAAATTCCGAATTTAGATCAATCAGACGAATATATGGTTTCTAATGTGACCTGAACTGACTCAATGATGTACAATTTATGTATGTATGTATGTAACGTTGCTGCAATATTCATTAAAATTATCACGCATTCTATTCATTGGCGAGTTTGGTCCCAAATTGGTATGACAAAAATTCACATTCAAAAATATTTCAAGTCTTGTGGGTCTAGACGATACATGGAATGAAATGAGAGATAACAACATAGAAGAACTAAAATGATTCCTCATTATTTTATAGATGAATAATAAATCAGACATAATTCTACGTTGCTCCAAGGTTATAAGTCCAAAAGAGCGTCTGGTTTGGATAATACTCTCTACAACAAACGAATTGTTCACTCTGAAGTTCAGAAATCTCACAAAATTATTTAGAACTCTCTCCAATCAAACTTTTTAGTTGGTATAATAAGGACTCCAAATGACACTAGCAAAACATAATCGGCTATATACGTAGGCATAATATAATGTTCTTTTAATAAAACCTAACATTCTATTGCATTTGTTAGTAACATAATCAATATGCATTGCAAAACTCAATTTGGAATCGAAAATAACTCCAAGGTCCTTAATATGAGATACTTTTTCCAAATGGGAACCATTCAAATTATAATCAAAAGTAATAGGGTTCTGATTCCTAGCAAAGCTTATACTGCAACATTTCCTTGAATTCAAAAATAAACTATTCTTTTCACAATACCATAGATCTACAATACACATCTAATCTATCGAGATCGTTCTGGAGTTTCATACAATCGTCCAACGACATAATTCTTTTGAAAAGTTTCAGGAATCAGCATGCAATAAAAATGGAAGCATTGATCGATGTCATTGATGAAAATAATGAATGATAAAGGTCCGAGATTTGACCCTTGGGGCACCCCCGAGGTAAATATAATTGGGTTAGAGTTAAATCCATTAATACTTATGATCTGAGACTTATCAAATATGTAAGATGCGAAACATCGTAATATATATAACAAAATATTATGATATATCTTGTCAAATGCCTTGCTGAAATCTGTATAGATAGAGTCAGTTTGAATACGATTATCGAGTGAATCTGATATAAACTGATTATAAATCATAAGATTGGTTTCTATGGATCTTTCAGAAAAGAATCCATGTTGTTCTTCCAGAATTGATCGATATTGATTCGTCCTGCTTCCTGCCACAGGAAAAAAATACTGAATTATACACGGAAAAAACATTAGATTTTAACTCACGGTTTTTTGTCTCTTTCCGCTACGCGAGACAACACAGCCTGGAGTTGAATCTCCAACTTTTTCCCTTGTATAATAAATAACTATTTATGCACAATTTGAGAATGTGGGAAATTTTGATCGTACTATTTTCGGCAGTTTGACCAGGAAATATGAAAGTCTCAACCAACCAGGAAACGGGTATAAATAGTGTATATCCTATCCTATAGAGATTTCAGGAATCTCCACAGAATGAATAAGATCACATAAAACACAAATAAATCGATGATATAAATAACTGTTGACATGAGCATTATTGTTTATTAAAACAAACATGATTCTCAATTTCAGTAACCTTTTATTTACCATAAATTTAAAATAATCACTTTGTTTGATACAAAAGATGTTAGCAGCAGTTAGGTACCTATACCTTCACCTCAAGTCCAATAGGTAATACCAAATGATGTTGATCAGTACTGATAATAATAATCTATTATATAAACATGAAATCACTCTTTGAATATTTATTTGATATTTCACTATTTATTCATTCAATTTCACAGGTGACTTTCCAGTCTTTGCATATTTCCTGGGGATCCTCTCACCAGTCTACTTTTCAGTCTGAATATATCCTAAAAAATAACAGATTTGTTTGAACATGTGGTTAAGATTTATCTATAGATACAATTAAAAACAAATTTTCTTGTCGATTTTTCATAAAGTAGACCAACCTGAAATTATTGAATTATCTCTTCACTTCATCTAAAGTTAAGCTTTGGTTGCTGTGGTTGAATAATCAAACACAAAAAGCTACTCAAAATACCACGATAACGTTAGCCTGAGTATATATTTCGACATCACAAAGTTGCCATCCTCAGTAGAACTGAAAACAAAATAAAGATTATTAATAGCTGACTCCATAGTAATTTTCGAGATATTCTCTACTTCTCTCACTGGTAATTTTAAGAGTCAGCTAGATTTCATTTCTTTTCAGTTCTTCTGAGAATGACAATTTAGTTGTCGAAATACGTACCTATTCAGGCTCACCCTGTATCTTATGTTACAATTATTACAGTAGTCATAACGAATTGCAATCGAAACTCAATACTCGTCAACAGAATGGTCAACTGCTCAGCAATTAATATTTCACTTGGAGTACCACAGGGTTCAATGTGTGGGCCAGTACCAATTATTTTATATATAAATGACTCAAATATGTCAATATGTGATATTCTCTAATAGGGAATTGAACAGTTTGGAAAATATCTACATACGGCTTCTCGTATTATATTTTTGTGGTATTTTGGACAAACTTTTGTTTCACTTTACCTGGAAACTCAACTCGACTCCTTTTTTTGCAACAACTTCTGCTAGTTCTTTGGCGATATCCTCTTGGACGGTGTTCGTAACATTGATGTAATGACAGTCTGAGGCCGCGTAGTGACAGGATATTGCCTTTCTGAATCCCTGCAACATTGATTACCAAATAATTTGTTAGAATGGAGAAGGGCTGTTTTGCTATTTACCTTTGTGAAGTTTGGTCCCGATCCGTGGAATAGTAAAGGATGGAAGAATACAGTATCGCCTTTATCCATTGACACATTCACTCTTGGAAGATGATCCATTCCTTGGATACCATGGTACAATGAGTGTTTTTGTCCCTACAAATTCATAAATGAATCAGAAGCAGACGCTTTGTGTACTTTGTGATAGTATTCAGTAATAGTATATTACATAGCAAGAGTTGTAAAACGCATATAATGCACGAAGTGGAGAGTTACTCTACAAGTGCGTAATTGCTTTTCAACTCAAGAAATGTACTATACTTTTTCTACGACTACACTATACGTCCTTCTAACCTAACCGCATGAAAATGTACAAATTACAATTATTCTTGTACATGAATCCGTTTTTCATATCTTAACAATAAACACACTCTCATCACTTGACATTTTTTTAACTCGAATTGAGAAATATCAAAATAAATAATCATTTTCAAACAATATGACTTGCATGCTTTCGGTTTCGGTTGACAACTATATTTATTTAGGAAAAGATGAATCTACCTAGCTACTGAAATGAACTGAAATTGCCACATCATCTAAGCAACAAAACAAAGTCATCTATCAACATACCTAAGCGTAAGGAGAAGCTCCCAAAAGTCCCAAATACAAATATTCACCTTTTACAAATAATAATATCAGATCAGCCTCACGATTAGATCTTATTTGACGAATAGATATTTTTTGAATTGTTGAAAAATATAACAATCATCTGTTAACGAACCTCGGGATATTCATGTTTATGAAGTTGGCCAGATTTATGTGATCCTGGCACAACATAGAGACAGCCATTTCCTTCATAGACCCTTTCCATTGCTGTCCAAGAGGCTACGATTTTGTCCGGTGGTCGAAAGGGAAAATAATGAAGGTCCTGAAAACAATCCATTTCAATATTCATAATCGTTTTGAATAACCATAATAATTTCGGAATGTTGGCACCATTTCAGGCCCATCACAGTCTGAGATGTGAATTTTCTTTCACAGACCTCTAATCACAGAGTCGTGATTGGGTTTTCTCAGTTCAGAATTTATTTTCACGACCTGTATGGTACAACTCACCCAGATGACAGCGGTCTCTAAAAGGCTAACCACTTATCTTCTTGGAATTCTTCCTCTATAGGAAGTTGTCAACATAGGCTACCATTTAAAATTATTTCGAAACATACAGGGTGTCCCCAAAAACCATAAAACACTGAAGTTAAACTTTTTTCTATCGAACACCCTATATATTATTTCATTTTGAGATTCTCCCTGATGAGCTGATTTCAACGACCCATCATACTCGGGGTCTAGCAGTCATAATTACTGAAATATAGGGTGTGAAAAATCGAGATTTTCCAAGTTCAAGAATTTTTTGTGTCGAAACTTTTCATAATTTGTCAAAACGGCTTACATGTCCCTATCTCAACTTTTGATTAACTATCTACTGATATTTAATTGGGACATATACCGGGTGATCAAGATTCTGAATTCTGCACCACCCTGTATTTGTTTCAAATAAATGTCAGTAGATAGTTGATCAAAAGTTGAGATAGGGACATGTGAGCCGTTTTGACCAATTATGAATGGTTTAGACACAAAAAATTCTTGAACTTGGAAAATCTCGATTTCTCACACCCTATATCTCAGTAATTATAACTGCTAGACCCCAAGTATGATGGATTGTTGAAATCAGCTCACCAGGGAGAATCTCAAAATGAAATAATATATAGGGTGTTCGATTGAAAAAGTTCAACTTCAGTGTTTTGTGATTTTTGGGGACATTGTGTATGTTTCAAAATAATTTCAAATGGTAGCCTATGTTGACGTGCAAATTCCTAGAGAGGAAGAAGTCCAAGAAGATAAGTGGTTAGCCTTCTAGAGACCGAGGCGTTACTGGTGGCCCACCCTGTAGAGAGATGAGAATTCTATTTTTTTATGGAGACTGGATGAAAGAATAACTGGACTCCAGGTTACTGAGAGGGTTTGATATCCGAAATGAGTTCATTCGAATAAAGTCATATAACCTATTTGTGAGAGATGTTTCCCCAACATCACTGATAGGAATGATTTTTGGAAGCCTCAAACTCATCAAGTCATCAAGACCAGAGTTTTGTAAACTGTGACAGGGAATTTTCAGAGCACACAAACAAGCATCAGGAATGACATATACAAGATTCTCCTCACACTCACATAAGTTTTCATGATTTCTCACCTGATGCAATGGATGCCTGGATAAATCTGGATCGCTATCTGGTGGTTTGTTGATTAACATGGAGTGCATTGCTGTTATATTCGGCCCTATTATTTTTTCCACTATATCGATAAGATTTTTGTCAATTGCATATTCCCAAAGGACTGGATCGTATAAAAAATCTTGTAACTGAAACAACATAACCGTTTAATGATTATCGTGATTCTGTGGTTAAGATTCATTACTTAATTCCAAAACCCCAATGATTTTCACTTATAATATCACGAGAGCATTAATTATTCCGGAAATTCTTTCGAAAACACGAATATTTTGAAAATGGGCTCATATAAAAAAAAATTATTTCATAATTCGATAGAGCTCACCCAAACTAGCTCACCACCGCAAACCGTTTCTTGCTGTGAGCTCCCTACGTTTTATAAAAAATTATTGAAATTCCCGATTTTTCGGACCTCTGAAAACGCGGCGATGATGGGACGTCGAAACCCTAATACTGAAACAGGACTATTCCAGACAGAGATGAATGATACATAATTTCTGACAGAGTGAATTAGCGCGAAATTACAGTTGAAAGAATTAATATATCAGTTGCCTCAGTCTCCGTCGGGCGTTTGGTATTTTCTTTCAACTATGGCGAGATGAGGTTTCTACGTCATAAGAGGGACCGTTTTCAGAAGGTACTATTATTTATGTCCAAAAATAAAACATTCCAGTTAATTTTTCGATCGAATTATATCGTCAATCATTATTTATGTATAAAAGGATCATTATAAACATGGTTTGAGTTAAAAGTTCTACTAAGGTGTACACGACCATTATGTAGTCGAAGACGAGGGAGAATGAATGCGCTGATTAAACATACGACCTATCTGACCGATATACAGGGTGTTTCATAATTGAATGTCAATATTTCGAGAGGCGATTCTTGGGCCCATTCTGAGAAGAAAGTTTTATATGAAGGTATGACCTGAACGTCCTAACTTTTGAGATACAGGGTGGTAGAGTTCACAAAAATTAATAGTTTTTTATCAATATCTGTAATACCACTCTAAATATTCTAATGAAATTTGGCATGTACTATGTATCAAGAGACATCAGTTAGTGTACCACATTTTTTGTTGTTGCCACCAGTGACGTTCGTATGGAATTTCACATACCTATTTTGGCAGACAGTGATGGTACGCCATTGATTAATCTCGAAATTGAAATCATTCCTGAAATTCCCAATCACTTCTAAGCAATTGATCACTACAATTTTTTCAATCTGATGCACGGTGTTCGCTTAAAACAATAAATAGCTTCTCACTACATGATTATAGCAATTTCTTTAATATGACCATATCACAAGGCAGAGAAATAGATTTTATTTTCTAGATCAAATTCCAGAAATACAATTCATAGTTTATGAACTTCGTATTGGTATTTGGTATTTTGGAATTATAACTTATCATTGTAGTAGGCTATATCAATTTTTGAATACTTTACCACCCTGTATCTCAAAAGTAAGGACGTTTTCATACGTTCATATGGAACTCTCTTCTTACAATGGGTCCTAGAATCGTCTCCTCGAATATTGACATTCAATTATGAAACACCTTGTATACCTTAGGGCAAGACCCACAGTTGAGTTTGTATACCCCAGATTTTTCGAATTTAGTTTTGTCTTTATTAGTTTTGATGAACCTTCCCAGCGTGTTATTTGTTCTACAGTGTGTCCCACTTACCATGCTCACCATGGGTATCTTTTTAACGGTGAGAGGTACGAGGTCGGTTAAATGACACCAAATGTGGAGTTTGTCAAGGCCAACTATACCTAATGTGGAAAAATATTTCGATAAAATCTATTCGTTTTTGTTTTATACGCAAAAAACAGATTTTGATCATTTTCATGTTTCCTTCGTAACTTTATGAAAATATTCAAATAGGAATTTCACATTCTCATGGCAGTTTTTCAAAGTGATTTCGAAAAAAATATGAAATTTATACCGACTCTTCTAGAATTTAAGATATCAGCACCAACTTTAGTTTTTCAAATGTAGGTCATAGCTCACTATGACTTAGATACAAATAACTTTTTTTCTCTCACAGATGATATTTCGCAGTAATAGTTTTGTATTGTTAACAACTGAGTTATCGTAATTTATACATAAACAAAGAATTATTTGGAAGCCGCCATCTTGAATTTATAAATTTTAACAAAAAAATCATGATCTCCGACTTCAAAAACCCCCACTTACCAATTTTGAATGGAATCGGACCAAATCTTGTCCGCCATCTTGGAGCAGCCATTTTTTTTAATTTCAACAAAAATTCCCATGGTGAGCATGGTAAGTGGGACAGACTGTATATGATACTTTCAATTCCTGTTTATGTAGTTTATTTCATTGTACCATTATTTCACCTGATGAAGCTACTGTGTTAGCGAAACATGTCGTGTGTTTGAGAATTGTGTGGAAATCTTATCGTTTGTGAAGTTTTTAAATTTGCCATAGATTTCCATCAAGCAGCATCAAGTAACTACCTACTTATACGTTCATTTTACTTTGTTTTTTGTGTTTCAAAACTTCCCAAGCTTCAATATTTGGGCTAACTTCTTAATGATTATAAAAAAAACCTAAGACTCACTTTGTTGACGACATATTGTCCTGTCATACCCTTTCTTCTCAAAACTTTATCTTTAAGAACTTGGGCGTTGTAGACTTCTGTATTATTATCACATATGTCGATAAATCTCTGGCTGCATGAATAAAAAATTATAAATAAATATTACGATCAGTGGATACTGGCCAGAGTAGGTATAATATACAGGGTGTTTCCGAAATTGGGACGATAGAATAGTTGAAGAAAATAACAAAATAAAAGACACTTTTGTCGGAAAACATTCATAGCCTCGAGGTCAAAATCACCGTAAGTATCAATACCAATATGACTCTTGCAATGTTGCCGGACTTTCGATAATAGTTGAAAGGTTTGTTATGGTGAGAGCGCAAATTCTCATTTTATTTGTCGCCCCAATTTCGGAAGCTGCATCTACAGGGTGATTCAAGTTTTGAGGCACAAACTGAAATGTTTGATAGATCTCATCATTTTAATCAAGAAGGTCTTCATGAACATGAGTCCGATCTCGAGGTCATGGATTAATTATTTTTTTCTATCAATTAAAATATCTTGCTCACTATTGAGGATATCAATTTGAAATTTAGTGAGGTTGTTACTTCCTAGATGATCATTATTTCAAGCATTTTGAAGATTTTCAAAATCTACAGGGTACCCAAAATTTTTAGTAGTACACCTCATCTAGTTTTTTTTATCGCTTGGAGCGCACGAAAGGGAATCCCTATAATGTTCAATTTTTCGAAATAAATAAGCAACCGTTCTAGAACATGTTAAATTTGTGTACATTTCGCATACATTTTATTCTTGGAGAAAATTCAACCAAATTCAAAAACTAACAAAACCTTTACGTTCTATCCTTTGTATCTCCGCTACTGATCCACTTTGTAATTTCAGTAAATTTTATTGCATTTTCTGCAAATTTCATCCAGTAATAAAATTTAAGCGAAACAATATATGTATAGGCAAAGTTAACATGTTTTTATAACGAATAAGCTTATTTATTCTGAAAACGGTTGGTTCATCGAAAACAATTGGAGCGCAAAATAAGCATGGAAATTGAACGATATATCAAATTTCTGAACTGCAATATGTCAGATGACTACGAAAAAGTTTGTGGGGGATAAGGAAGCCTCTACCTCCAAATATGTATCACCCTGTAGATTTTAAAAATCTATAAGAAGCTTAAAATGATAATCTCCTAGGAAGTATCAATCACGCCAAATTTCTACTTGATATCTTCAAAAGTGAGCGAGATATATTAAATATTTTGTTTTTTGATGGAAATGATATCAGATCTATCACCCATTTCAGTTTGTGCCTCTAAATCTGAATCACCCTGTATATATCGAAGAGTGAACATTGACCACGATCATTGTCGATCTAAATGGAAACTTAGTATGCGACCTAGTACGCGATGATTTTACTGCAAGTAATGGAAATTCATGAATCATATAGTAACCTACCAAAAATATCAAGAAAGTGCAATCAGTAACGTTTTTTTCATTACAGTATTTGTTTATGTTCTGGTTCCCACGAATAGGGATCTGCCTCGGGTAACACCTCCTTTTGCAATGTGTTCCAGAACCTCGCTGTTCGTTGGATGAACGAGTCTTTGGCAAGAGATGTTCTGCATGTCTCCAAAGTGACCACGAAGGGATGCGAAGCCTCAACTCGACGGGTTAATCTCGCGGGGACTGCCAAGGGAGGAACAATTGTTGATATTTCAGAAGAGCATCGCCCATGAAAATATCTATAAAATAGAGCCAGATCGCCAACTTTTCTACGATGTTCCAGAGAAGTAAGTGAGTTTGTGAGCGAGGCGTCACCCACGAGGCGAATTGTCCTTTTTTGGACAGAATCCAACAGTTTCAGGGTATGTTTGGGTGCTGCACTCCAAATATGGGAACAGTATTCCAGGACAGGTCGGATCTGTACCTTATAGATCATAATCATCGTTGATATGGAGTAGAAATAGTGTTGGTGCTAGAATTGATCCTTGCGGAACACCAGCATTTATGATGAATCTCCGTCGACCACTACATGGAGAGACCTGTTTGAGAGAAAACTAGCTAGCAGAGAACATAGCTGAGAAGGCAAGCCATAAGATGGAAGCTTGGCGAGGAGTCCGTGGTGCCACACTCGATCGAATGCCTTGGAAATATCAAGTGCCACGGCTAAGGTCTCACCATATTTTTCAATAGATTGCTGCCATATATGTGAGACGTATGTGAGCAGGTCACCAGTTGATCTCTGATGACGGAAGCCATATTGCCTATCCGTGATAATACCTGAATGTTCCAGGTATATCATGAGCTCGATGCTGATAGCTTTCTCCATGATCTTTGAAATAATAGATAGCAGTGCGATCAGTCTGTAGTTGCTAGGTCGGGTCTTTTTGCCTTTTTTAGGAACTGGTTGTACTCTAGCAATTTTCCAGTTGGACATGACTATCCCCAATTTGTATGAGTAGTCGAACAACTTGCAGAGAACAGGAGTTAGTTCGGGAGCACATTTCTTGAGAACAATCGGTGAGATTCCGTCGGAGCCAAAAGCTTTGTTGGTGTTGAGACCCAATAAAATTTTCCTTATAGTACGTTGGCGAAAGGTGACCTCGGGCATATGACTGTCAATTGGCGTTATGTTTGGAGGTTTTTTTCCCGATGAATCCAGAGTGGATTTTCCAGCAAATAAATGCACAGAAATATCGGCTTTCTCCTCGGTAGTTGTGGCTAGTGTTCCTTGGTTAGAGGAGGAAACGAGCTGGAAGTGAAGTTTCTTCCTACAGCTTTGGCGAAGGACCAAAATAAACAGGATCCGTTAGGATATTCAACAAGTATTGATGGGTTTCCGACGTATCCGCAGTTCCTATACTCAAATTAGTCAAGTTCCAAAAGCATCATATATCAATCTGATACAGCATTGCGTAAACAACTTCATGCTTTCATTCACGTATAGATTTCTCTGTGCTACTGATTATCGTCCTTTTTGTTTTCAATTAACAGACAATAGTATAGTTCTGGCTTACTAACTACCTTACTAGGTTGTCATTTAGAACGACAATGGTACCATAATCAAACTACACTGTTTTTGATTAGCGGTAAAAGAGGGTCCTTACTGCATTTTATCCAACAGGTCATGGCTGACGTTGTTTTTTATCACTATGTACCCATTTTCCTCGTAGAACAATTTTTTGTCTTCTGTGAAAGTGGATTTTTCATGAATATATTTGTAATGCCTGAAATTTTAGAGAACAATATTTCAGGCAGTGCGATAAATAATTGTGTGAAATGTACTGTATGTATGTGTGTATGTTACCGGCTCCTTTGGACTCAATTTTGACCCACTTCATACAGACCGATGGATTTGAAATTTGGCAGGTGTACATAGGTCGGATGCCAATGTATCATGAAATTCTTGTTAGACAAAAAAACAAAATGGCGGCTACAAAATGTCGGACGAGTTTTGTAATTATGATCCGATTCTATCCAAAATCAGTACCTGTGGCTTTTCTGGGTCGGAGATTACAATTGTTTTGTCAAAATTTGGAAATTCAAGATGGCGGATCCAATATGGCAGACGAGTTTTGTTATTCATGATCCGAATATATTCAAAGTTTGTATCTGCGGGTTTTCGGGATCAGAGATTATGATTCTTTCGTCAAAATTCTGTAATTCAATATGGCCAATATGGCGAAAGAGATTTGTAATTATGATCCGATTCTATTCAAAATTGGTATCTCGGGGTTTTCGAGGTCGGAAATAATGATTCTATCGTCGGAATTGGACAACTCAAGATGGCGGATCTATCTCCGACCCCAAAAACCCATAGATAGAAATTTTTAATTATATCGGATCATGATTACAAAGCCCGTCCGAAATATTGAATCCGCCATATCGATTTCAACAATTTTCACGGAAGAATCATAATCTCCGACCCGGAAAACTCCCAGTATACCACTTTTTAATAGAATCGGATCATTATTACAAAACTCTTCCGCCATATTGGATCCGCCATCTTGAATTTTCAAACTTTGACGAAAGAATAGTAATCTACGACCTCGAAAACCCCGAGATACCAATTTTGAATATAATCAGATCCTATAATTACAAAACTCGTCCGCCATTTTGGTGCCGCGCCATCCTGTTTTTCTGTTAAACAACAATGTCATGATGCATTGTCACTTTCGAAGATTCAATAAGTCAGTTAAATAGGTAAGTACCCACATACAAGTGAACCTAATAAAAGCGTGGTAATAAAAACAGTCTGATCATCGTCTAACTATGGTGAGCAATTTCAACCACTCGATTCTTTCACTCATTTTGTGTCAGGGTTTTTTTTTCGCCTAAAATTTCCATAATATGTTTCATAAGAATATCTTGTTCTAACTTACAAGGAACCAATTGCAGAAGTCCTTGCATAGCGAGTTCATAGTGAACATAAATATTCTGCTCGACTATAAGAAGATGTACCCATCAGACAATAAGCTGAACCTGAACCGGCCCTGTCTTGTAATGATTGAGAGCCGATTATATGTGCAATCAAAGTGGCTCGACAGATAATTATTGTAGCTTTGATCTTTGATCGATGTGGAAACGTAAAAATATAGGTGTTCAATCAATTTAAAAGGAATGGATTCATATAGGTAGAGATCTATCTTTAAATTCTTACCCCATTGAGAACTGAATATTCCTACTTCTAGAAACACTACCTCTTGCAATCGCGAATCATTAATTTGATGCAGTCTTGCAGTCAGCCAGCAGTCAACGAGTTAACAAACACTATTGAACACTGTTGCCAGATCCTGAACCATTAAATTACGTAACCTTTGAACCTCTATTCGTTCTGTACCACATGGTACCACCGACTTATAGACTACTATGGAAGGTTGAGAAACGAATGAAATATACCGTATTCATGTCTCATAGATGTCTTATTTTTATATCATAATACATCATATTATTCTATTCGATTTGATAGATAATAATTGTCAATTCTCAATTTCATTCTTCATGCTCTCTTTTTGGATGTTCAACAGATATAATTCAATGTTCGACGTGGCAAATAGCCAGGAAAGGAGTTGTTTTCTGTTGAATATTCAGAATGATAATATGTGCATATCTTTATATGAAGGAGAACGCAAATTCTCTACTTCAGAAGATTTTGTTTTCAAATTCTTATCGTGTGTGTTCAATAGATATAATTCAATGTTCGTCGTGGCATATAGCCAGGAAAGTAGTTGTTTTCTGTTGAATAAACCGAGAAAGAATTAATATTTTCATCACATGAAGAATGCGAATTCTCAATGTATTTCCATAATTATATCTGAGAAAATACCTTTTCAATACTTGATACTATTCTAAATATTATTGATATACAGGGTGATTCACATAACAACCGACATAGGGCAGGGTCCCAAAATATGGCAATTTAACGCAACTTACCTCTATACCAAGTTACTTCCCTAAGGAGTTATAGGCATAGCACTAACAGCATGTCAACTTGCTTATTAAAAGAAAACTTCCCGTTCATTTTGAAAACACTCAAACAACAATTACTTAATTGACCAACTCACTTGCCTTATTGTCAAGTTTAACGTTTATTTTCATAGCCAACTTTTGAATTTTCGATGATTTTAAATAACACACCTAGAGCGCGCGTTTTCAGTTAATCGAGTTTTTGATGAAAATGATGAGGTTTTTCGAAAAATTACTAGAGTAAGAAAAGTTTTAGAATTGAATTGGCCACAGAACAAATCAAAGATTTTTGAAATCCATCAAGGGTTAACAAAATTATGTTGAATATGAATGGTGCGCCACCCGGTTTACCCCCTTTACAAATTTCAATTGAACTCTAGTTACTGTCAAGTAACGCCCTAAATACATCCACAAAGTGTACCGAATCTGGTTGCTTCAAGTTCAAGAATAACGAAGATATTGATTTGTTTCAAAATTTATAACTTCACTTTCAAAGCCTATATCTCCTTAGGGAAGCAACTTGGTATAGAGGTAAGTTGCGTTAAATTGCCATATTTTAGGACCCCCTACATGCCCCTGCTCTATGTCGGTTCTTATGTGAATCACCCTGTAATATCGATGTTACGTCCTTTCAATCTGGCAATTTGGTTCATATCTTCTTTTGACTAATCAGGAAATCAAGATGAATAATATCATTCTACCTATGTAAGGAACCAAAACTTCTCCAGTGAAAGATTACTTCAAATTTTTTATCGTATTCACACCTGAATTCAGGGATTTGAATATCAAAATGTAATACCTATACTTATGTTAATTTTGACTCTCTTAGCAGTTCACTTCACACCTGAGAAAACAATATCAGGTGTGTAGTCTCAAGAGTCAGATTGATTTATCAGAACAGATATCGGATGTTATCAGAATATAAACGCATAGAACAAATTTAGGGATACTCAAAAAAATTACAAAAATTTAGGGATCGGTAGAAGACACGCGAATTTTAATACAAAAGATAAAGTCGAGTTTTTGCTATGCATGAAAGTGGTATATGTACAGGGTGAGTCATAACTTTTTTATGTTCTGGTTTCCACGAAAAGGGATATCCTGTAATGTTCAGAGAACATCGTGAGAACCAAGGAAAATAAGGTAGGAATTAGTGTTCTTCTTGAATTTCTGGAGGTTATATGCCTCGGGGCACACCTCCCTTGGCAATGTGGTCCAGAGCCTCGCTGTTCGTTGGGTGAACGAGTCTTTGGAAAGAGATGTTCTGTAGGTCTCCAAAGTGACTACCAAGGGGTGCGAAGCCTCAACTCGACGGGTTAATCTCGCAGGGACTGCCAAGGGAGGAACAATTGTTGATATTTCAGAAGAGCATCGTCCATGAAAATATCTATAAAATAGAGCCAGATCGCCAACTTTTCTACGGTGTTCCAAAGAAGTGAGTGAGTTTGTGAGCGAGGCATCCCCCAAGAGACGAATTCCCCTTTTTTGGACAGAATCCATCAGTTTCAGGGTATGTTTGGGTGCTGCACTCCAAATATAGGAATAGTATTCCAGGACAGGTCGGATCTGTGCCTTATAGATCATAAGCAGCTGACTGATGGAAGTGAAATAGCTCCTGGCCCGAAACAGAAAACCAAGTTTTTGGGATGCACTTTTGGCAATTGATCTCACGTGATTTTCCCAAGAAAGGTTATTGCTGATAGTAATATACCAAGCATCGAAATGGATGTCTTCAACGGTATGGTTACTCCTGACAAGCTTATGTTGGGCGGATTGTTCATACCAAAATATGGTACTAGGACCAAATATGTCTTCATAAAATAATGCTGTGGAAAAAGATACAGGGCGTTTCAATCTAGAAAGTATTGACTATAAACTGGCACCAAAATGCATTCACTGACAAGAAATGTTATTCACCTGCAACAATTATCTGACAGTCCAAAGCACACTCTCCATTAAAGAATTACTATTTTAAAGCCTCTTCCGAGACTTTGAACTGTTCAGTTACGTTTCTCTCGATAACGGATGAAAATATCGTTTCTACGTAGAAATCATGTTGATATCATATCTTTTATTCAAAATAGCCAAAAAGTTTCGTCTCAAAAAGTAATCAGTTGATTTCATCATCAGGAATCATCCATGTGGCGCCTCCTGCAACCAACTGTACATACACACAGTGAAAAAAAAATTACACCAGTTCACACCAGCTAACACCCTTGGGTGTCCCCTGAGGTCCTGATCATTTTAGTGGGAATTACCTCTGATATTTTTAACACCATCATAGGGTGTCATTCGTTCTTACATACAGTCAAGAACCACACTAGAGTATCTAGAGCTAATTTGATCGATTCGTGTTATTCAACACCAGAGTGGTGACTGTACAATCATTTGGTGATTATTTTGACACTGTATCTGTTGCATTTTTGCTTTTACTGACTATATCATGATAATATGTGAATATTTGTCGGATATTCTTCTGTTGTGAAAACACACTTATCGAGTGTTATCACGCTGAGAAGCAGTGTTTTCTTGTATGCATCTGAGTGTTGAATAAAACGACTCTGATATACTAACATTAGTATTCAGTGTATAAAACGATCCAATGTAGTGAGAATTGTGACTTACAAAACATCTCTGAGCTGATACTATTTGTAGGCTGTCGAGAAACGTGCGTCGAAGGAGCGCTAGTGTCACCATCTATCAAGAAATTCACTAAATATTTTTCTGTGCACAAAATTTCTACTTTGATATTCAATTTTATGTTCAATCTGGTTCGATATAAGTACTCTATATCGCTTCGCAATATGAAAATCATCATATTTAATTTATGAATCAGCTTAAAATTCATTTAATGCATTATTTTCACGAAATCATCCGTTCTTATTGTCACCTATCAATCTGGATACCAGAATTCTTGGATGATGATATACCTACACAATGTCCATTCATTCTTCAATGAGTTCAGGTTTTTCAGTGGGTAATTTCATAATCAGCAAACATTATTTATTCACATGGGAGAATGCAAGACGATGATGCCCCAAATCTCATAATTCATACACGGTTCTGATTTGTTTGTGATTGGTGAGGGTGTAACTAGGTGATAATTTTATATAATAAGTGTATTTTTTGCGTTAACTTGGATGATACCACTATCGAAAGTGATTACTTTTCATCCTGTTGGTGTTTCTCTCGAATGGATATTTCAGAACTCCTCTAGATTACCACATCCGTGTAATTTTTCACTATGACTGTGTGAATTGACACCACTGTACACGGTATTATCAAATTTATAATAATATTGGTATGAAATTGCTAATCAAGTGTTGATTCAATCGGAGTTATTTCTGAAATCCACTTGGTTGAAATTACACCCGGAAATTTTTCACTGTGCATGAATTAATATTCCTTGTATAAAAGTTTGCCTCTATGCCAATTTTGATGACAATTGATGGATATACAGTGTAATTATTAGCAAAAAACTAAAAAAAAATCAAATTCAACGTCCTGTATCTTTTTCCATCACCATATTTTGGTTCAATAAATCCGTCCTCAGCCTATGTCCCAATAATTATGACTCACCCTGCCTAATATCGTTATCGTTTATCAATAATTATTATAAATGTCACTAACTTTTTTCGTGTGATAATTTTTTTATTACTGATGGTTGGTGTTGATCGGTTGTATGAGCTTAGAAATCAGAATCAGTGACAATGATTCATGGGAAATCGTTAGATTGATCTCATTTTGGTATTGAGCAATAAAGAATGAACAGTTTCAAAAGTGAGTACTACACAGCGTATCAATTTTCAGAAGGATTATTTATTGCGTTCTTGAAAAAGAGAGAAATTAAGATATATTACTGTGATTATTTTCTTTGTATGATTTTAAATCAATCAGAACGTTCAATTGAGTTAAGCTACATTGTATAATTTTGAATATACGTGGATATACATACACTGAGAGAAAAAAAGAGTGAAATTTCGCTCAAAGTTCACTCAATAGTGTCTCAATTTCGGTCCACGCCCGATTAAGTTGAAAATTCGTTCTGTTTGACTGAGTGAAATGGTAATTCAGGTTCGCGATTTCTTGAGTGAGTTTCAACTCATCGTTTGAACATTTATTGAGTGTTTTTATGTCTATCATTGATTGCTTTTATATCCAGAATAAGTATTTTAATAGTACATTATACACCTTAGGGACTAAAGTGGTATTTTAAATTCCAAGACAAAAAGTTTATAGCCCGACCAACGGGTGGGCTAATTTGTCGAGGGATTCAACAACACTTTAGTCCTGAGGTGTACATACAATTTTACGCACTTCAGGATAGGTTAAACGTTAAAAATAACGAAAAAAAATTGTAATGCCACTATACACGGTAGGTACTCTATTTCTAAAACGTAATCGAAGGGGGCTGATTGTCAACGACCTTAGTAACTATGGTGATCTAGATTTCGGGGAAAAAAGTGGTACTTTAAATCCCTAGGGATTTAAAATGTCCTTTGAATTCCTAGAGATTTGAAGTACCACTTTTTTCTTTGAAAATAGGGATTTAAATCTAAGTGCATACAAATTGTTTCAACTGGTTTTATATAATATGTAAAATAATAATAATAATTGTTCATTGCTTCTTAAACGAGTTAACAGCAACGAGTGTATGAGAGAAAAAAAATTAGGATAATATGTATGTATGTATACTCTGAAAATGAATAAAAAACGGTTTGAACATTAAAACCTACCAAGCACAAAGCATAAATATCGATAGTTACAGAAGAAGAAAATAATACAATTATTGTTTATTCATTCAAAATAAATGATCTCAGTTTAAACATATTCCAAATATATTCAGAAATTATTCTAGCATCGCTGATTGTTATTTTTTGCAAGGCAATAATTAATGTTTCCAAACTCCTTAGACATGGAGCTCCTTGTTATACGACGCTATACATAGTGGAGTATACTACGGCCGTGCCAAAAATGCTATCTCGGAAACTAAGCGAGATAGAGGTATAGTTACTTTGGAGAAAATGATCCCCATCGAATTTTGAGCAACTTTGGTTTTTGTGTGTGGTCTGTCTGTCTGTCTGTCTGTACTCTGTGTTAATCATAAATCGATATATCTCCGGAACCCTTTGACATATCGACTTGAAATTTTGCCATCTTATTGTACTCGAAACAATATTATGTCATTAAAATATGAAGGAAATCGGAAAACTCTAAGGTGGTTTTTCCGGGTTTTTTCGATTTTTCACCGGAAGTTTCTTGTAACCACTCTACAAATCGCAAAAGTGGTCCGATCGATTTCATTTTTTGTGAAAAAAAACTCTATCAGAAAGAGACGAAGCCTATTGAAATTGAGCAGGGTCGGAAAATTCCAAGTGGGTTTTTCAAGGAGATTTTCCGAAACACACGGTTCGCTTTAAAACGATATATCTCCTGAACAAATGGACTAAATCCAAATTTGAAAAATGCACCGTATGCCTCTTTGATGACGCAACAAATTATTATCAAACCATTTTTTTGTGCATCCATCGGAAAATGGAAAAACAAATGAAAATCCAAACATCAAAATTTGAAATCCTTTCAATTCAATATATATCGAAAACTAATGGAAAAATCGAAAATTGTCAGGAGTGCAAAGTTATCCACTGGAACATTTCCTACAAATTATTTTCCATAATTTTTTCTGTAAACCCAATAGTACAGGAAATAAAGTGAAAAATATGAAAAAAAAAATTTGAACGACCCATAGGGTACTATGAAGATATATTGAAAAACAAAGATTATCGATAGATGAAAATCATCGACTTCCACTGAACCATGAAATATTTTTTCATTTTGTTGATTGGAAGATGGAACAAAAGTGTTGAAAATTTTATTCTCAGATAATTCCAAATATCTCGAAAACAACTAAAAATATCTGAAAATGTTATAGAACCAAAATTATTTCTTTTGATAGAATCTACAAAAAATCCTTATAACATTTTTCTCTGAATTCAATAGTTCGGGAGATACGATGAAAAAACTAAAAAATTTACAAGTTCCTAGATGATCACTTGCCAATAGAAAATGAAACAAAAAACAAAAGAAAGTAAAGAATGCACACTCGACTGTCTTGATTTTTTTTCCATAAACTACGTACCTAGCTCACTCTACTGTCTTTATTTTTGCCAATAAACTAGGTACGGGCTAAGTACGTAGTTTGTACGAAAAATCTCCAGTTCGAACTTTCATAGCGTCGTATACACATCATTGGTGCCCAATGATAGTTTCAATATAAAAATATGCTCATGATATGGTGCCATGGCCTCTACTTCCATCTTACATGAGCTATGATGATATATCATCTGCTTTTATAGCGTCGTATAAATTATATGACCTTTGTACTTGAATCTAATACCTATATACTAATCTGATACCTTTCAAAAACTATGTACCTCACTTGTTATACGACGCTATACATATAAGTGGAGTATAGTACGGCCTTGCCAAAAATGCTATCTCGGAAACTGAGCGAGATAGAGGTATAGTTACTTTGGAGAAAATGATCATCATCGAATTTTGAGCAACTTTGGTTTTTGTGTGTGGTCTGTCTGTCTGTCTTTACTCTGTGTTAATCATAAATCGATATATCTCCGGAACCCTTTGACATATCGACTTGAAATTTTGCCATCTTATTGTACTCAAAACTATATTATGTCATTAAAATATGAAGGAAATCGGAAAACTCTAAGGTGGTTTTTCCGGGTTTTTTCGATTTTTCACCGAAAGTTTCTTGCGACCACTCTACAAATCGCAAAAGTGGTCCGATCGATTTCATTTTTTGTGAAAAATAACTCTTTCAGGAAGAGACGAAACCTATTGAAATTGAGCAGGGTCGGGAAATTCCAAGTGGGTTTTTCAAGGAGATTTTCCGAAAAACACGGTTCGCTTTAAAACGACATATCTCCTGAACCAATAGACTAAATCCAAATTTGAAAAATGCACCGTATGCCTCTTTGATGACGCAAGAAATTATTATTCAACCATTTTTTCGTGCATCCATCGGAAAATGGAAAAACAAATGAAAATCAAAACATCAAAATTTGAAATCCTGTCAATTCAATATACCTATATCGAAAACAAATGGAAAAATCGAAAAATCATCAAAAGTGCAAAGTTATCCACTGGAACATTTCCTACAAATTATTACCCAAAATTTTTTCTGTAAACCCAATAGTACAGGAAATAAAGTAAAAAATATGAAAAAAAAAATTTGAACGACCCATAAGGTACCATGAAGATATCTTGAAAAACAAAAGATTATCGATAGATGAAGATCATCGACTTCCACGGAACCATGAAATATTTTTTCCTTTTGTTGATTGGAAGATGGAACAAAAGTGTTGAAAATTTTATTCTCAGATGATTCCAAATATCTCGAAATCAACTGGATATATCTGAAAATGTTATAGAACCAAAATTATTCCTTTTGATAGAATCTACAAGAAATTCTCGTTAACATTTTTCTCTGAATTCAATAGTTCTGGAGATACGATGAAAAAACTAAAAAATTTACAAGTTCCTAGATAATCACTTGCAAATAGAAAACGAAACAAAAAACAAAAGAAAGTAAAAAATCACACTCGACTGTCTTGATTTTTTTCCCATAAACTACTTACCTAGCTCACTCGACTGTCTTTATTTTTCGCCAATAAACTAGGTACCTAGCTCAGTCGACTGTCTTAATTTTTTGCCCATAAACTACGTACCTAGCTCACTCGACTGTCTTGATTACCCACAAAGGAGAAATATGTTGGCAAAGTTTTAACTTTCTTTTGTTTTTGTTTTTTTCAATCCCTATTGGCAGTCGAGTGGGCTAGGTACGTAGTTTGTGTGGAAAAACCAAGACAGTAGAGTGGGCTAAGTACGTAGTTTGTGGGAAAAATCTCCAGTTCTCTGAACTTTCATAGCGTCGTATACACATCTTTGGTGCCCATTGCCCAATGATAGTTTCAATATAAAAATATGCTCATTATATGGTGCTATGGCCTCTACTTCCATCTTACATGAGCAATGATAAAATATCATCTGTTTTTATAGCGTCGTATAAATTATCTGACCCCTATACTAATCTAATAGCTAATGAAAACTACATCTATACTAATCTGATACCTTTCAAAAACTACGTACCTCACTTGTTTCATAACAGTGTAGATCGGACAGTCAAAAATGATATGGAGGAGAGTTTCATTTTCGTTTCTGTTGCAAACTGGACCACAGATTAACAAACCTATGGACCACGCACACATTATATGGGAAAATGTCTTTCGGTGAAAATGGCTGGATTTTTTATATGTTGTAGCTGTAGTCATTCTAAGTAAAAAACTTCATTGGCTCAACTCGATCGTATGACCAGATTCGGCGCTAGAGGATGAAACATCATGAATTTTGTGTATTTTTGAGTCTTCGAAGCTTAATGAAGAATATGAAAATCTCGTGATATGCCTTCACCCTACCAAAATTCATTAAAGATAGATATGTTTCAAGGGTACAGAAAGGATGTAGTATGTAGTAGCCTTTTTACAGGGAGGTCAACGATAAACTAATTTTCAGAAAATCCGAATGCCATCGCCTATAAGAGAAAGCTGATTTATAGATTTATTCATTGGCGATCGATCAGAAATAAACGTTGATCGAAGAAAAGAAAATGATAATCATTGATACAGAGTTAAAATATCAAACATCGATAACGATAGTGTCAGTTTCACTGTTGAAAGAATCCGACCGCGAAGCCGCAGGATTATTCTGTTAAAGTGACACGATTTGTAATTGTGCAGGAAGTTTTATATCGAAGTAGTATTTTTTTTTTCATCGATTGGAGCGCACGAAAGGGAATCCCTATAATGTTCAAAGAACATCGTGCGTTCCTAGGGAGGATAGGGACAGGAGGTAGGTATTGGAATTTTTTTTGAATTTTTGGAGATTATATGTTGTTGGGAATACTTCCACAGGCAATGAATTCCAGAGCCTAGCCGTTCTATGGATGAAGGAGTCTTGATAAAGTGCTGTTCGACATCTTTCGAGGTTGACAACGAAAGGATGTGCTGACTGGGCTTGTCTAGTTCGTCTGATTGGTATTGCTAGTGAAGGGATGATAGCAGAGATTTCTACGGTGTTCCAATGATGTCAAAGAGTGAGTGAGTGTGGCGTCACCCACCAGGCGAATGGCTCTTCTCTGGATGGAATCTAAGAGCATCAGCGTATGTTTTGCTGCTGAACCCCAGACATCACAATATCGGGCATACTGAGTTCCGCCTTTCTAGAGAAAATGCAGGCTTGAGTTTTGGTGGCGTTGAATTCAACTAGGTTGTTCGTTCCCCAGGTTGTGATTTCAGCAAGATCTTCATTGACAGCATTGACCTGCCTGCGCCGTGAGTTCTTAGTTTCCTGGGAAGAAATGGGAATTCTGGAAGAGAACGCAGTATGGAAGGTACTATCATCTGCAAAGCTGTGGATGGGGCAAGTTGTTACTCCCAACAGATCGTTGATATGAAGCAGGAATACTGTTGGTGCCAAAATTGATCCTTGTGGAACGCCGGAATTGATGCCAATGGTATCAGACGATACACCGTCCACCACCACGTGAAGCGATCTGCCTGAAAGAAAACTCGATAAGAGATGGCATAGCTGAGGTGGTAAGCCGTATGATGGTAGTTTGTGGAGGAGTCCTTCGTGCCAAACACGGTCGAATGCTTTCGATATGTCCAACGCGACAGCTAGAGATTCCCCGTGTTTTTCTATTGAAGATTGCCATAAATGGGTGACGTAGGCAAGTAGATCTCCAGTAGATCTTCGGTGGCGAAAGCCGTATTGTCTATCATTGATGATTCCTGAGCTCTCCAGATATTTGATAAGCTCAATATTGATGGCTTTCTCCATCACTTTGGAGATTACTGATAACAGGGCAATGGGCCTGTAGTTGTTGGGCAGGTTCTTGTTCCCTTTTTTGGGGATTGGTTGGACTCTAGCTGTCTTCCAGCATGATGGAAAAATACCTGACCTGTACGAGATGGTAAACAACTTGCAGAGAATCGGTGTTAATTCTGGTGCACATTTTTTGAGGATAATGGGTGGAATTCCATCAGGACCGTTAGCCTTATTCGTTTTGAGACCAAGCAAAATTCGTCTGATAGTGCGTTGACGGAAGACGATTTCGGGCATTCGACTCTCAACGGGTGGAATGTCTGGCGGCAGTTTTCCTTGGGAATCTATTATTATTAGTATTACTACTGAATTATATTCGTTGCCTATTTTTTCAGATTTTCCTCTTATTTTTCTTCTATTTGCGGTGGCCGAAATCGACGCAAAATGCAGATTGTATGGCAACTGCAATCAAGACTCGAAAGGCCACTACCAATATTGCCCCCATCTATTCGGAGGCATAGACCCACGACCGCTGAACAAAACATCTGACGACTACGATGAGGCTGTGAATGTTCTCCAGACATTTTGTCCATTTTACTTGGATGAAAATGGCGGTGAGTATATCGTAGGGTGTGTATAATACAGGGCATATCTTCATGAGTTAACGCCATCTATACAGTACGAATTCGCTGAACGAACATACCAAAAGAACAATTTTTTTTCCGTCGTTTGAACATAATCGCAAGATTTCTCTGGCATTTAAGCTAATTGCAAGATTTATATTACAATTAAGGCTCAATTATTGACAGATTCAGCTTGCTTTTATACAAATTGAATTCGACAGATTTATTTCGCAATGAAGCTAATTGACAGAATTATCTTGCAATTAGTGCATAATTGACAGATTTATTTTGCATTCAAGCTGATTTTGACATTTTAAGTAATTGCTAGATACAACTTGCAATTAAGGCCTAATTGACAGATTCATCTTGCTTTCATGCTAATTGCTCGATTTATCTTACAAAAAAAGCTTATTCGACAGATTTATCTAGCATTTGAGCTAATTGACAGATTTACCTTGCAATTAGTGCATAACGGACAGATTTATTTTGAATTCAAGCTAATTGACAGATTCAACTGGCATTTTAGCTAATATTGCAAGATTCAACTTGCAATTGAGGCCTAATTGACAGATTCATCTTGCTTTCATGCTAGTTGCTCGATTTATCTTACAAAAAAAGCTTATTCGACAGATTTATCTAGCATTCGAGCTAATTGACAGATTTACCTTGCAATTAGTGCATAATGGACAGATTTATTTTGCATTCAAGCTAATTGACAGATTCAACTGGCATTTTAGCTAATATTGCAAGATTCAACTTGCAATTAAGGCCTAATTGACAGATTCATCTTGCTTTCATGCTAATTGCTCGATTTATCTTACAAAAAAAGCGTATTCGACAGATTTATCTAGCATTTGAGCTAATTGACAAATTTACCTTGCAATTAGTGCATAATGGACAGATTTATTTTGTATTTAAGCTAATATTGCAAGATTCATCTTGACATAATGAAAAAAGTCTTTTATCTCATTTCCGGCCTTGAAAAAATTGAAGAGTAATTTTCGAGACAAAACAACACCCTGTATATCCATATCTCATAATGTTATTCACAAATTTATTGTATCTCGTCTATCCGCATAGGTACAACTTCTTTACCTATCAAATCTATAGATGTTTGGATAATGAGGTGTAACAAACTTGAAAAAATAATTGTTCGTCTACTAATAGTATTTTTTCATTTTCAATCCATAAAATCATCAAATATTCCTCATTCCCCTAATTTTTGGATAGCAACCTATTTGGAAATCGAGAGAACATGTTCGTATTTATTATTACAATGACTATCTTTGCAACCCTGTATATTATACATCTCATGATCTCTAAATTTTGTGGAAATTGTGAAGAATAACTGAACTCCTTATGATTTCGATTGTATTTCAGAACCTGAATCGTTGTGCTGCGACATTGATCAGATTTTGGAAATGGCAGTTGGTTTCAAAAATGCTGCCCCCTATCAGAGATGCGACAGCTGCTACACCAACAATTTGAATTTCTACTGTATAATGACTTGTGCTCCCAACCAAAAAGACTTTATCCTCAGTTATCATACAGCATTGAATTGGACTACATTTAAATGTAAGAAATCCCCAACAATATTTGCTGGCTATTCAACCAGCCAATCACCTTAGATTATTACTCCCCACAAAAAAAATACCAACCAAAGTTCGACTCAGGAAAATGGGGAAGCGTCCTATATTGACTGTGAAGTTTGTAAAAAAATAATATATACGTATACAGGGTGTTTCAGACTTAAATGTACATACGATACCTGTAGATAGAGGACACTTCGGTGGTTCCAAATCACCCCCCATCGATATGTCTACCGTCTTTGATAACTGAGATACAGCGGACGTTATCTTGATATTGGCAAAATCTTCATCTGGTTATATCTTCTGAACCACTTTGTATAATCTATCCATACTTGGTAGAAATATTTCACTTATATTACCAAGGACCAAATGAATATCCGAATCAGAATCCAGGTCCGTCTTGAGGAAAAACAGAAAACTTCTTTCATCTCAAAAACAACACTCTGTATGGCAAAATTTTATTGATCAGTTATGATATTTGGAAAGAGCGGAAAAAAATTAATGAAGTGACCTACTTTTCACGAGTGCGCATCCAATTTGAAAGATGGTTTATTATCATGTTTTGAAATATTCAGCTCCATTTCGAGGCATTTTTATTGAACTCATAATTCAAAACCCAATTTTTATACAGGAAAATAACAGTCTCCAAATTTCAACATCATCAGAGTCAAATTAGGTGAACTATCGATAAATTTGTTTGTTCGACAGAATAATTTGTCGATCATTTCAAAAACTTTCGAGGACTCATTTTATACTTTACTATTTATTCATAAGCTGCGGTAAGGTAGGCTGTGAAGAAAAAATGAAAATTCTGACAGTTCATAATCACTATAGTTGCGATATTATTGGTGAAGTTATTGAAGGCACAATTATGAACACTTTGAAATGCAACAACCCAATACAAGCACCAGAAGTAATTATCTCAACATTACCAATAATGTCACACTAGTGATTATGACCTGTCAGAATATCAGATTTTTTTTGCACAGCCTACTTAACCGCAGCTCGTGAATTGATAGTGGAGAATAAAATGAGCCCTCAAAAATGTATGATACCATAGACAAGTGATTCTGTCACAACAAATCTATCGATAGTTCACCTAATTTGACTCTAATGATGTTGAACTTTGAAGACTGTTATTTTTTTGTATTAAAATTGGGTTTTGAATTATGATTTAAATAAAAATGCCTCGAAATGGAGCTGAATGTTATGAGTTATGTGAGTAGAAAATAGTGTATTATACACGGGTAAAATATTAGATTTCAGCTCACGGTTTTTTGTCTTCCTCCGCTACGCGTCGGGAGACAACACAACCTGGAGCTAAAATCTACTACTTTTTTCCCTTGTATAATAAATAACTATTATTGTTCGTAATGGCCCGTCTCAACCAGATATAAATTCTCCAAAAGAGGAGTTTCTCTAACTTTTATTATTCACAAAAAAGTCATGCTGGGCAAATTATTCCAAAGAAACGATGGACTTCTACCAGATATTATCTTTCATTGTTCTTATCCCTCGCAGCATATGTTGACGAAATTGAAATCAGCATCAACGAGAAAATGTTGAACGATACTTACGAATCTTGCAAAGACGTTTCGATGCCATCATCAGGAGGTACAGTAATGTCAAGTGCATGTGGTTCCTATGGAGCTACCTGGTGCAATCCTCTTAGGTAAGATTTTTTTTTTAGAATCGATCATTCTGATTTTTTGAGATGTTCTCTCCTCGTTTATATAAAATAAAAATATGAATATTATTTCAATATACATGTAGTAAGGGGATTACCGACCATTGGACGTGGTCAATTGGACGCACGAAAATTGGACGCGGATAATTGGACGCGGCGACAATTGGACGCGGCGACAATTGGACGCGGCGATAATTGGTCGCGGCGACAATTGGACGCGACGAAAATTGGACGCGGCGACAATTGAGCGCATGCGAAAATAAAAATAATTTTATAATTCCAATGAAATTTATTGCATGGAATATGCAGGGCTCATATCTATAATATAACAAATACCTAACCTAACCTAACCTGTCAGGTATTTGTTATAATTATGGATATAAGCCCATCAGTATTTCATATCTTATACAATGAATTTCATTGGAATTATAAAATTATTTTTATTTACGCATGCGTCCAATTGTCGCCGCGTCGAATTGTCGCCGCGTCGAATTGTCGCCACGTCTAATTGACGCCGCGTCTAATTGTCGCCGCGTCCAATTGTCGCCGCGTCCAATTGTCGCCGCGTCCAATTGTCGCCGCGTCCAATTGACTGCGACCAATAGTCGTGCGTCCAATTTTCCACGTCCAATTGACGCGACACCGTAGTAAGGACAAATCAGATGATTTACCCAAAAATGTCACTGCATTTAAAGAATTTTCCTATCAGAGATCCTAAAAGTAGAATTCACAAGCTTGTCAGTGACAATTTGTATTGAAAAAGGTTTGGAGAAGAGGAATAAAGGTATACAGAAAAAATATCAAATTTTCACTTAGCTTTGGACGAAAAAATTTCCCGCAATGTTCCATCACTATTGGAACTTCTTTTATTTATAAGTTTCGTATTTTAGCCTGATGGTGACTCCAAGGAGTCGAAACATGTAGCAAATATGATTTGATTAAAATTTACTTGGAGCGAGACTTTGAGTTTGTTCTCTTAATTATCTCATCACCCCCAATTTGAGCATGGACTACTATCAGAGATTCACTATAATCTTCATTCTAGGTGGTATGAATTTGCTACTGATCCAGATCAAAATCCTATTACTCCTTTCAAAATCACCTATCAGGTTGTGAATGACAGTGTTGTAGGTGCAGTGAATCAAGAAACTGTTCCTTGTAATGAAGCATATGTGAGTATCAAACATAAAATCTACTGTACAGGGGTGATTATTGTGAAATATTTACTCGATCTTTCCTTGACATAAAACAGCTGGCAACACTGTAGGGCGGCATTAGTTAGACAAGTGTATCGAGCAAGTGTTTTATTGTGTCATTAAAACGTTACTGTTATGTTACACACAACTCGAAATATTCAGCAAATATTGCCACAGTATTACGATATTGCAATTGCATTTGCAGTCTTCCAGAAATATTGCAGAAAAATCGTATTTGAATATTGGAATTCCATTATGTAGGAACAATGTTGCTTCTTGATACTTTTTGAATAAATAATGCAATATTGTTCATGCAATTTTTAAGTAATGTTGCAGTAATATTGAATATTGATAACACAAGAAAGGCTTAAAAATGCCAAAATGTCATTCATGACACCGAGAACAGGTGATGCTTTGAAAAAGAACAAGAGATGAATATAATATACATATTTACTCATATTCAGATAAATCAATTGAAGACCTCATTGATGTTACAATATTTCCATTTCCCCCTTAGTATATCAAATAATTATTTAATATTGCATATTATTTGAGCAAATTTTTTTTAATATATATTCAAAATGTATCTGCAACATTCTATGTTAGGTTTTCGAGTGGACATTTAGATATTTTCGCAATATTCCTGGAATGTTTCATCAATGTTGCAATTGAATTGAAATATTTTCATATCTAACAAAACTGTTTCCCAGTTACATGAACATTCAAATAGAATTCAAGCGCTTGTATTCCTGCCTACTGAATCTCTTTTGTTCAGCTATTTGACTTCTATAATTTCCAAAATTTTGTTTTTAAGCATGGCAAATTGGCATGCGCTTGTATGGACTGCCCTTCCAGTTGTTCCGACAACGTCTACAGTCCTTTGGATGTGGGAGGACAACTTTTGTTCGGACTGTTCGACTTGTGGTCCTTTATCCTAGGGTGCGTTTTGTTCGTGTTTGTCCTATGTGTCGTGATGGCAATTTTGCTACTGAGGCATCGGTACCTGACTAGTGGACTGAGACCTTGTAGTTGTGGATTGGGTTGGTAATTTTTCTTTTGTTTGCTTTTGAAAAATATGAGGCGAATAATAGTGTTGGTGTGATTTTGTAGATAGAACAATTAAGAAGATTAGAAAATGTGGTGATACAATTCACGAGATATTGGGAGATTGCTTTTACGTTTTGGGAACAAGTAAGTGGAATTTTATTATTTTTCTATTAAAAGTCATGAATGAAATTTTATGCAGTGTGTGTGAATGGGAAACTTTTTTTATATCGATCTTCTGACAAAAATTCTCTCTCAATCTGAAGTTCTTATTACAAAAATGAGAAAATAGATAGATAGATAGATTGTTTTGTTTTTTGTTTTGTTTTAGATAGATAGATAGATGGAAATTTATTCAACTACGTTACACAAAAATAAATGTTTGTAGCAGGTCAGATACAAGATACAAGAAGGGTTACATTTAAAAAACATGAAAATTACAATAGTACAAATTTCAAGAGTTACAATCACAAAGGACCCCGCACCGCAATAGGGGGGAAATTGGCTTTCGGTGAATTTCCTAGAATTTTGGATATATCGTAGAACTCTCAATAGTTTGTATTATACAAGGTGCTGAAGTTGACTTTTTCAAAATTTCGAATGGCCATTGTGAAGTTTCCTTTTCGAATACCAAAATCAAATCGACTACGTTTTGTTTGTCCATGTGGCCGGTGAAAATCCACTATAGAGTTCAATGATATCTTAGCCAATAGCCATTGTAGTAGCGTAATCAATTTTTTTTTTCAATTTGCGAAATGAAATTTCTCGTTAATTTTAAGACTTAGGACGAATCGAATATTTTGGGAATTTTCCTTCATTTGTCTCCCTATATTCTAATACATTTTAAGTGTTGATTCTGATGCACACAGATTTTTTATATCTCATCTTGGTATCGAATATACCTGGAATTTCCGTTAGACTAAAGCATATTGATGTGTTCAACACCCTATATTTCGATACATTCATAGTGCTGATTCTGATGTTCTCAGATTGTTCATCAAATCACGATTTTTTCAAGCGATTGCCGAAGAAAAACTGAAAGTGTTGGGTATGTGCGCCGTAGTCATAGCGGTCCTATCGGGCGGTATCACCTTTTTGAAGGTGACCACTGACCCCGTGGAACTTTGGGCAGCTCCGAACAGCCAAAGTCGCTTAGAGAAGGATTTCTTCGACCAGAATTTCGGACCTTTCTACCGGACCAACCAGATTTTCATCAAGACAGTGGGCATCGATCCGGTATGTATGTTCAGGACGTCCATTGAACGTTAAACGTCCACCTATTGGACGTTAAATGTCCATATTGGTTGAGTTGATGTTCATTTAACGTCCGGGAACGTCAAGGCTTGAAACGGTTGTCCGATAAACATTCAGTTTGAAACATTCGACGTACCCTTTCATCATTCTTATAATTAATGTTTCGTCTGTATGATCAGGACGTTCATTGTACGTGAAACGTCCGTCTATTGGACGTTAAATATCCATATTGGTTGAGTATGTTCCGAGGACACTGCTTCATGCGTACAATGGATCTTCATTTAACGTCCAGGTTGACGTCATGGCTTGAAACGGATCTCCGATAAACGTTCAGTTCGAAACATCCGATGAATGTTTTGATCGTTCTTATAATGAATGTTTCGTCAAGACAGTGGGCATCGTTCCTCCATGTATGATCAGGACATCCATTGGAGGTTGAGTATGTTTCGAGGACACCACTTCGTGCAATGGATGTTCATTTAACATCCAGGAATGTTAAGGCTTTGAACAGATGTCTGGTTTACGTTCAGCTAGAAACATCCGATGTACGTTTTCATCGTTTTTATAATGAATGTTTCGTCAAGACAGTGGACATCGTTCCTCAACGTATGATCAGGACGTCCATCGGACGTTAAATTTCCATATTGGTTGGGTATGTTTCGAGGACACCGCTTCTTACATACAATGGATATTCATCTAACGTCCATGAACAACAGGGCTTGAAACAAATGTCTGATGGACAGTTTAAAACATCCGATGTACGTTTTCAACGTTCTTTGGTCGTCCATTGAACGTTAAACGTCCACCCATTGGATGTTGAACGTCCGTCCTTATTAATGTTTTGGGGATACCGCTTCGTACGTACAGGGAGTTACGAATTCGAGAGCTATCATTGGAATCTCGATAACCATTACAGATACGAAGTTGATTGAATTAGGGAAAAGTTGCGCAATTTGATGATGATCAGAATGCCGCCTCAAAAGTTTCGAAATCCCGAATACTTTCGAAGATATTTGAAAAAACCCGAATATCTGCGATGTCGTTTGACAAAATGAGTTCCATATTATCTTTGCTACTTTTTCTGCTCTATCCAATGGTATAGATAGATTTGTGTTTCGACGTTTGTTCAGATTCATTTTGGCATATCTCTATTTGTTTCTTAGAATTAGAAACTTTGCGAATAACTTTTGAAACCTAAACGCCTTTTTGTATGCTCATTGGAGATATAAATGTCCCGAAACACTTCAATGTTCTATTAACTTCTATTTGCGCAATAAGATCGATTTTTTTTTTCAGTTCGAGTTTACCTCCGAATATGGTGGTAATGTCACATTAGGCCCTGCGCTCGATGCAACATTCCTGAAAGAAGTATTCAAACTGCAAAAAATGATAGAAAATGTGAGTGGTTATTATTATTATTTCCGAAAATTTCAACTCTTGATTACTGTCCTTGTTTTTATCAGTATGTTGTAATCATGGCGATTCACATTTCTGAGTGTTCGTTTCTCTCATTTTTACACGGCCTACTTCAATTCAATATATTATAAATGAAATCAGCAAGATTTATATTTGCTGCTCAAGGTGGGAGACACTGTATATAAACCGGAATCACCCTTTATACCCTTTTATGTTTCCAGATAACAATCGAAGCAAAAGGTGACGATGGAAATGTATTGAGAAAGGGCCTGGAGAATATTTGTTTCGCCCCGCTGCGCACCGTTTATTCTGGACCAGCCACTGTCGATGAATGTACAGTCATATCTCTGTTAGGACTTTTCAACAACGATATCAGTAACTTCGAGAAAAATACCACCAAGTCCTATGAAACTATTGTTGGTTGCCTTCGGTGAGTTTTTTTTCGTTTTGAAGCGCACCTAAAATAATTTCTATCATAGTATGTGAAAAACTTCACAAACTATAAGATTTTCACAAAAAACCTACTGCTCAGCTATACACTTTGTCCATGAAAAGAATTTTGGACGGCTGGGTTTATGTTTTGATTATTTTTGCTTTTTTATATCTGAAATAATGGCATTAGTATCACTCGATCTATGCATTAATTTTGTGTTATCTGCAAATAACTCCAGTTCACCTTCCAATTCTAATGTTGATAACGAATTTATGTAGGTCTAGAATAAAATTGGTCCCAAAACTGACCCTTGCGGTACACCACATGTACATTTGTAGATACGAATACTATTCACGCCAACAAATTGTTTTATGTTAGCTAAATAATGTGTGAAGCAATTCTCATTCGAAATCTCTTCAAATTCTCTACAAGGTGACAACGGAAACAGTGACCAGAGGTTTTTTATGTTAGACTTTTGACATTTGAATCGCAGTTATAGTTCCTTCGGTTTCAATGGATATAGATGTGATTCAGGAAATTCAAATGTAGATATTTTTATGTCATTCAAAAGAGCGAAAATTTTTGATTCATCGACAACCAGAATTCCTTTTAGTACCTGATTCTTTCAAATGATAATCTCCCTTTTGACATGTCTACAATATTTTGAATAGGAAATTGTATTTTTTGTTTAAATGGACATCGAAGTATTAGTCAGTATCTACAGATTAATTTTCAACGGTGGTGATATGGTGATATACATAAATATACAGGGTGTTTCATAAAAATCTGACCCCCTCACTAGGGTAGGTAGAACACTGCAAAATAAGTTAGGTTTACTCAGTAAAATAAAATCGTAACGGCATCCGTTAGCAAGATCCAAGGTGTTGAAAAAATGATATTTTTACACATTTTTCAAGATTTTGTCGAAACTACTGACAACATAGTAATGAAATTTTGTATGGATGTTTCTTGGAATCTGACACATCGCATGCATTTGTTTTTATATCTGACTCTCATAGAGGGCGCTAGTTACACGGTTCGTACCCAGTAGAGTTTTGAACATAACTTTTTTGAGGTTAGATTTTTCAATCCAAATTTGATGTGAACTTGAACACCATTCAATTTCACACCAAAAAGGTACTCTTGGTAAAACTCGATACTGTGTTCCGTTTTCGGAATATTTCGATTTGAAAATGATGAAGTGATAACTGTTGCTGGTATAAAGCTATGTATTAGAGTGAGTATTATGAAAAATTATCACCTATTTATTGAAAACCGAAAACAACAATACATTTCTGATGCTAAACTTATTGATTTAACAATGAATCACAAGAATAACATCGAAACAGATTCGACTAAGAACATGGATTACACAGTTTTGTTGTATCTTGAGCAGAAAGTCTATGCTACATAGGTAAATTCACGTCAAGAGTTGTAAGACATAATTGAACATCACTTAAATGACCTAACAGCTGATCCTCAACTGTTCAAAAGAATAATACATTCTTAAGAAAAGAATATATAGACTCGTGTATTCATCGAAACGTAGGACATTTTGAACACTTACTCCAACTGATTCAATATTTCATGTTTCTAGTCAAATATCTCTCAATTTTCTACTTATGATTCTTTGTTCCATCAATAACTTCAGCACAAGAATAATTTTATTGTTTTTGAATCTGAATAAATAGGTAATTGAACTCAATAAAATTCATTTTATACCAGCATCAGCTATTACTCCATTATTTTCAAATCGAAATATTCCGAAAACAGAACATAGTATCGAGTTTCACCAAGAGTACCTTTTTGGTGTAAAATTGAATGATGTTCAAGTTCATATCATATTTGTATTGAAAAATCTAACCTAAAAAAAGTTATGTTCTAAACTACTCGGTACGAACCGTGTAACTAGCGCCCTCTATGAGAATCAGATAGAAAAACAAATTCATGCGATGCGTCAGATTTCAAGAAACTTCCATACAAAATTTCAATACAATGTTGCCATTAGTTTCGTCATAATCGTGAAAAATATGTGAAAAAAATCATTTATTCAACACCTTGTATCATGAAAACGGATGCCGTTACGACATTTTTTCACTGAGCAAACCCAACTTATTTTGCAGTGTTCTACCTACCCAAGCAAGGGGGTCAAGTTTTTTCGAAACACCCTGTATAACGGAGCAATTGCGATTTCTTGCTGATTTTCAGTTTTCCATTCACCATTTTGTTTTTCAGGGCTCCTTACACCATAAATTGTTTGGCCCCGTACGGAGGCCCCATTATACCAGGTGTCGCGATGGGCGGTGGTTCGGAAAGCCTCAATTTTTTGGACTCTACCGGTATCAGTCTCACTTTTTTGACATCAAATTATGTGGATAAAAGCGAACTCACAGACACTCTGGAATGGGAGAAAAAGTAGGTGAATATATCGATAATATTTATTCATACATCACGGTGGTAAAGGATTTGATTATTACCCAATGACCATGATTATTTCCTGAGCCGAGTATACCGGGTAATTCGAATACGAGGGCCACCATTGGAATCTCGGAAACTATACAGGGTGATCCACGGTGGATGGCCTATTAGAAGTATCTGGAGAACGGAAAGACAAAAAATTCTGAAAATTAGGATGCTTTGATGATTGAACATTCTCTATCCGTCTAAAATATTTGCATAGATACAGTGTTGCCACTTCTATCAGAAACAACTAGCAACTTCGTTATTTCAAATGGAGCACCCTGTATTATATTTCATTTTTATATTCTTTCTGAAGCGCTGATTCCATCAATGTATCATACTTGGGGTCTAGCACAAATGATTACAGAGATATAGGGTGTTCAAAATCGAGATTTTTTAATTTTAGGATTTTTTTGTTTCGAAACTATTCATTTCGATTCACTATCTACTGACATTTAATTGGAACAGATACAGGGTGATCAGAATTCTGAATCTTGAAGCACCCTGTATTTGTTTCTATTAAATTCCAGTAGATAGTAAATCATAGTTAAGATAGGGACATGTTAGCTGCTTTGGTCGATAATAAATAGTTTCGACAAAAAAAAATCCTAAAATTCAAAAATCTCGATTTTGAACACCCTATATCTCTGTAATTATTCGTGCTAGACCCCAAGTGTGATACATTGATGAAATCAGCTCTCAGGAAGAATCTAAAAATACAATGAAATACAGGGTGTTTCATTTGAAATAACAAAGTTGCTAGTTGTTTCTGATAGAAGTGGCAACACTGTATCGATGAAAATATCTCAGACGGATAGAGAATGTTCAATTATCGGAGCATCCCAATTTTCAGAATGTTCTGTCTTTTCGTTCTCCAGATACTTCTAATAGGCCATTCACCGTGGATCACCCTGTATATAGGATATACGAAGATGGTTAAATTAGGGCAAAGTTACGCATTCAGGTGACTAAACGTATGCCCTCGAAACAATTTATAAATTTCTGGATATAAGGGAAAAAAAGGAAGTTTGTAAAATCATTCTCATTTTTTTTGGCGTTATTCGTTGATTGATATAAAAATTGATAGCAAATTAACATGACCACTTTTTCCCTAATATACGATGACATCTTCAGATTCACCATCCGACGTTTTATCTTTACGCCACCATCATCAACTTCATTTTTCCTCGTGGGCGCCATATTGGATTTCCATTAATAATAATAGAATAATTACCTATCATCTAGAAAACCAGGAGGGGGGAGCGAGCGCCTACACCTGCCCCTCCCTGGCTACGCCTATGTTTCTTAACAAGAATCCATTATTCCGTGTACAAGCAAAATGCTGCAGCTGCACTTTGGTGACACTCACCATAAATCAAAAGCTTGTCTTGAAAAAGTTTCGTAAACGTTCTACATTGTTTGACATTTCACAAAAAAACTGAGGAAGAGGATCCGATGACTAGCGCTAGACAATAATAGAATTATACTCATCTATGAGGACACTCTGTATAGTTATTGTTTTTTCTTTTTCATATTGTCGTTATTTTTCCATTCTATCGTTATATGTTATTAATATGGATTCTTAGGAACTGGTGACTGCTCTGCACTGATGAGAGTCAAAAAGCTTGAAACGGGTGTGTAGGTGTCTAGCGTGGCCTGGCTAAATCAAAATCAATAGGCATTCAGGAAAGAATCACTTGTATCAGTATTCGTTTATACGAGTCGATGCTTCGGTAGGATGTAATTCAATGTTCTGCGTGGTATTAGCCAGGAAAGTAGTTGTTTTTTTTTCTCCCGAAATCTACCATTGTCGTTCATTTTATGAACATTTTGTGGAAATGACTTTGAGCTTTTTGTATTTAGATATCATTTTTTACTGCATCACTAAATGATTAGGTTTTTAAATATATTTCTTCCGAATGAGAAAAAATTACTCAGATATATTGATTAGAATTTTCTTGTTCAGATTTATTTCAGCGCTGAAACAGTATGACGATAATGACAGACCATCTTTCATGGACATTGCATACAGTGCAGAGAGATCTATACAGGACGAAATCGAAAATTTGTCCAAATCCACCGTCTCGACCATCGTGTTGAGTTACGCTGTGATGTTCGTTTATATAACGCTGGCATTGGGAAAAATAACAAACTGGAGATATTTTTTCGTAAGTCATTATTATGTACGAAATGCTAGATAAGAAAATTGTGTTATTTCATCAATGTGCCGACGTTTCTACTGCATCATCCTCAGTCCTAAGTTATAAATTCCATATTCAATACCTACTCAATATGTTGTCGTCAAAATGTTGAAAAATGCTATTTTTTGTTATTCAACTCGATAAATTATGTTTTTCAGTATGAATCCAAGTTTTCCTTGGGTTTGGGAGGAATTGTGATAGTATTTAGCGCTGTCGGATGTTCCATAGGGATATGTGGATATTGTGGTTTGACGACCACCATGTTAACCATCGAGGTGATACCGTTTCTCGTACTTGCTGTTGGTGTGGACAACATTTTTCTCATAGTTCAAACGCATCAAGAAAAAACTAGGTAAATAAACAACTGTATTTTAAGTTTTAAGTTTCAATACCCTGTATCTTGAAAACGAAACTTTTCCGGACATATTTATATGATAACTCTTTTCTAAAATAATGAATAAATACATTCGAAAAAATTTCTCTGGCTTTCAGGATATTCTAATTGGTCGAATGTTTCAGTAGTACCTTTCAGTGGCGGCTCGTGACTTTCAAGACAGAGGAGGCTGAATGATATGAGATTTATTGTGAAAAACAACTCTCTACTCACACAAATCAATAGCTTTAATGACATTCTGTTTACCAGTTAACCTGAACTTAATACTTGAAGAGATGTGTTCCTGTGATTTGCAGTGTCTATCCAATCCGCGAGGCAAATTTTTCAAATCATTATATCCTAATCGCCCCCAACATGATGACTTATCGGTTGAAAATAATACGCAGTACCAACAAAATGGCTTATTCCTTACCTCAGATCCCGTCAACCAGATATATTTTTTATAGTTATCAGAATTGAACGACCGATTTTGTTTGTTACCTGTTACAATCAGATTTTTCAATTCCAGTGTCGGACGTTTGTTTTCCACAATCAATTTATCTTCATAAGACAAAGCACTGAATGGGTGCACCAAAAAGTATTCCACTAAATTGCAATCGTTCAAAACACTCATTTTTCAGAAATTTATAGAGCCCCTAACCATTAACCTAACATAAACATAAACAATGCACTCGCGTTTGTCCGCAATTCGCGAAGCGACACGACAAACACGTGCTATTCGGGCGTATTCGGAAATTTGCATTGCGCGCGTAGGTTGCGGTTGTGAAGGAGTCTAGCCTCCTATAGATGTTGCCAAGTTGAATATTTTACGCGTGATTTGCAGACTTCAACGTCTGATGCGTGGGCAAGCACTGTTGCCAATTCAAAAATATTCAACTAAAAACAGGAAATAAAATCGAAATCCATGTATTTTGGTGTCCTTTTTATGAGAAAGTATAGATAATATTAGTTTAAGGAAAATCTCTGAGGAGGCTCAGCCTCCGTTGCCTCCTCTGAGGAGCCGCCACTGGTACCTTTCTGCTCCAAATATCTCTATCAATTCTAATAATTTTTCAAAATATTTGATGGCGAGCTAGGAGATCTTCCAAATCGTGAAAAAGACAAAATCTTGAGTGTGTTGGTGTTGTGATTTGAAAAATTGAAATAATTTTTTGCTGTTTCCGAAAATGACTGAGAAATCAAAGAATCACTGAATATTTTGTTCATTCTTATATCCTTTTCGAAATCATTCTCGAATGATAAGTATAGCTAATAATATCAATAATTATTACAAGAAATATTTGCTTATCTGCAAATACAAAAAATAATTTCCGGCTCTGCGTGAGACTTCAACGTTCCTCTTGTGAACAAACTAATATTTCAAAAATTTTGAATTTATTTGGTTTGCAGTTTTGTTTGAAGTATCTAAAATCATTGGGAAATCATTTGAAAGCGCATTTTTTCAAAAAATTGGATGGAAACATAATATGATATTGAGAGTTTCGTAGTTTCCCATACATTGGATCAGCCATTGAAGCGAAATTGCCACTGTGAATTTATGAGCTAGGGGTTTTAGGGGTCCAATAGTTCTGAAACTTCTAGTTGGTAACTCTTTATTTTTCAAAATAACCCTCTTATCATATTATACAGACACATACCAAATTTCAAGGAAACAATTTTATCAATGACACAATGATATCTCTTCAACCTCTCTCTTCTTCCATGATGAAACTTCTCAAAGTGACTGCTTATACTGGCTGGTGTACGTGGTATCTACATCTACGGAGCTTTTCAATTCTCATTATTTTTTGGCACACCAGGTATTTCGGTAGTTTGGAACCTTATTGGTATTTATGTCTATAATAGAGTCTGCTTACCAGAGATTAATTATTATAATTAGTATTCAATTTTGACAGCACGGATTTCTGTATTATAATTTAATGTCTGATTCAATCATGAAATAGTCATACGAATACAACTCGTGATACCTACTATTCTTCCTGAATATATCCGTCGCTTGATGTACTCTAGTTTGCTGCTTCAATTTTCCTTATGACGTTCCAGAACTTTGAGCTATATCGCCGTATATTTTCCGCAAAATAGTATCACTTAATTGTGGTATTACATATGAAAATTCCCATTATTGGCGGTCAATATTTGTTCCAATATTTTTCAAGGGATAAAAACAAGTCGGTCACGGAGACCGTCGCAGACACCATGGGAAAAATTGGCCCCAGCATCCTACTGACCAGTTCCACGGAAATATTTTGTTTCGGGATAGGTGAGTTTGCACGGATAATCTTGGAGTTTCAACTCGCTACTTTAGTTTTACTTTGAAGGTGCTCTGTCTTCTATGCCGGCTGTCAAGACTTTCGCCATCTACTCCACCGTGGCTGTGTTTTTTGATTTTCTTTTCCAAATGACCGCCTTTGTAGCATTATTGACTCTGGACGAACAAAGATACGAGGTAAGATGAAAAAAGTCGTTTTACAGTTTTTTGTGACTGAAGAAATTATAACACTCTGAAAGCTCAAAATCAAACTGCAAGAAAAAATTATGTATCGCAGATCTTATCACCATAACAAGCAAATTGGAATTAGTTCACAAATTCATTTTTTCTATCCAAGCAGATTTGAAAAAAAAATTTTCTTTCGTAGAAAAATTTACTGGATGTGCTTTGCTGCCTGAAAATCAAAACTAATGACGAAAAGATAGACAGATGTGGTTTTCTGGAGAGATTCTGGAGGGAATATTACGTGCCAGCGGTTATGAAGTAAGAGAACAACAAAACAGAGATGTATAGAAATTCAACTGGTGGGCTCACTCTTCAATTGTTTCGTCAGACTAACTCTCGATATGGAACAATTGCAAGCGAGTTTTGGACGTGGGGTTCAGGTATTTGCGATAGAGGCGCCATAATCGGAAAATCGTTCAAAACCTTGGTTTTGTGAGGGATGAATCTATTATTTCCATTATTGTTCTGTGGTCGAATAAATACTGTGCTCAACATTTTCATTCAAATTTCAATTTGAAATAGAAGCAAGAAATCTTTTTTGTAGCCGATTTTTATAAGCTTCACTTCTTTCATGACATGAACCTATTTGAAGCATGAAATCTGATGAATTTCCTCTTTGAAGAACCAGAACAAAGAATGAATCATAATAGGCAGATATGGTAACTGGTACTCACCTTAGAATTTATTCACACCAGTTCACGCTAATATTTCAAATCACTGAAATAATACTGTTGTAGAACAGAGATTTTCTTTTTTCTATGGTGGATTAGGTATTATACACAAAATTTAGAAACTACGGAACACGTCCCTAACGAACACTTGACCCCAATCTCAGAAATACCCATTTTTTCAGCTAAAGAATATTTTTGACATTTTTGACGTTTCGATCCTTTGATCAGGAATCAGTTCACTGCTCCGATCCAAATCATATACGTATCCAAATATTTATCGGTCGGTAATATGTTTCCTGTAAATATGGATTGTAACCAGGATGAGCTTAGCGAGATTTACCAACGTCTAGTATGTTTATCTTAGAGTCCCTGTATATACCTTAGACAAGAGTCCGGACACAAAACTGACAGCCGTTGGGGTTTTTAATATTTTGTTTCATTTGGTTTGCCCACCTGACAATGTGACGAAACACCATAGTCGTCTCGCCCGCTTTTTTAAATTATTCCGAATGTCTGTCACTGTCACTTTGAAATTTTATGACCGCCAACATTTAGCATTTTGAATTATTCCAATGTCCTGCTGCGTACATTATTGCGATAATTCATTAGAAAAGGGATTCAAGTTATTCGATTCTTCGAATGATCCTTTAAAGATAATATCATGGAAGAATGCAATGAAACGTCCAGAATGGAAAGTTGATTTCAAGAAATCCGCAATATGTGAGGTGAATATTCAAATTAACTTGTAAAAACAGTACAAGAAAGATGAATTTTAGGCCCATTTTGATAGAGATTTTTTCAAGCTGATGGATTTCAAATTGAAAGAGTCTGCTGTGCCGTCAATTCATGAAATAGAGACGTTCAAAAAAAGAGTCCCGTCGTCATCGTATTGGGAATTACTGAATGATACGTTCGCAGAGAAAGAAAATGAGAATGAGATGATGCGGAAAGAAATTGAAAGTTTGAAATCAAAACTCGAATCAAAACTAGAAGATTCAGGGAAACTGCAATGTGCTATATCATCAGTTCACGGTGTTATTAATTCAGATCAAATTCTAAATGTACAGGTGAATGTAGATTGCAGGAAGAGGTGGGAAACACAATTAATAAAGCACTCGCTATCAAATATATTTTTGTTTTGATTTTGTCACTTTTATTTCTGATGAGTGTTATTAAATTGAGAGAATCTGAGAAAATTATATTGAAACAATTGAATATGCTCTTTTTTTTTATATCCCAACAGAAAACAACTATATTTTATTGACTATAATTATGTGATACCACGTAGAACACTTGAATTATCTTTCTTATATCTAATGAAGGGAAGAAATATCTGATGACAAAAATTTGCAATAGCCAACTCAGGAATTGATTATGAGAATTATCGATTGGAAATTAGAACACCCTGTTGTTCATTATTCGAAAATCTAATAGTTATTCTAGTTAAAATAGCCCTATTTCTCACTTCATCCTACGGCTATGAACGGTTTGACAAATAATCTAACCCTCAAAACGGTTTCTGACAATCATTGATACTAGGGGAATTGAGAAGACAGAGCTCGATATATATGTCTTATTCCTTTATTCAATCATCAATGCATTTTTTGAAAACAGAAAAGGACAGAAGTATAGCTGTGTCCGGACTCTTGTCTAAGTTATATACAGGGACTCTAGTTTATCTTAGGGTGATCTTAGGTTTATCAGAGTAGGCGCCATCGAGAAACTTGCAAACGACCTTCAATAGGGAGCAAGCGCACCAGTTAAAATTCTATACATCTCTAACAAAACTAAACAAAGATTTTCCGAGTTCTGCCTAATATTCGTGGTATTTCCAATGATTATTTGACAGTGAAATTCACGAACTTTTTCAGATTCCCAGTTAGAATTATCATTGTGGTACTTTTCACATGTTTATTGTGTGGTTCGATTTTGCTGGCACCTAAAATAGACATAGGGTTGGACCAAGAATTATCAATGCCAAAAGGAAGTCATGTTCTCAAGTACTTTCAAGTAAGTAACACTATACTTCATATTAATAATTCGAATACTTAGTAAAACTCAGAACATGAAATTTTCAAAAAAATTATCAAAACAAAAATTATCATTATTTGATCAACAAACTGTTGTGTTCAATGTATAGGTTGTTTCTGAAATTGTAACGATAAATATAATGGTTTTATTGAACGTCATTTCGGGTGCCTCCGACCTCGCCGAAAGCAAACGCTTGGGTTCGTATATTCACCTCTGATCCATTATTCACAGAAGTTCCGAGTAAACTTCGAAGCCCTATATCATCCACAAAATTTTTTCTCAACAAAAAAATATTTGTCCATTTCTTTTTTTTTTTTCTTTTCTATCACCCATTTCATTTATCGCTCCAATTTTGAAAACACCCTAGATGTACTTATAGAAAATCCACCTATAACTATTTTTTTCTGCAACCGACACATAAGTCGTCCATTTTGATACCAAAATTAGCTCTTAGGAACTAAAAAGGATCTACTGGACGTCATCAAGAATAAACAACATTGTGACGGTTGGTTATTTGGGTTGAGACGCATACCTGATTTGTTTCCGATTTCAGCAGATTTGGTAATTCATGCCCATGCTGGAGATATAAATACACCTTATGATAGTTTAGTATTGGAATTATAAACATCTCAGTTAAGTATTTTTGTTTTGATCAGGGAAGCCTTCAAAATTCAAATACTTGCTTGATCTGTATTTCATTCGTTATTCTCGGGATGGATAACTTGTTTTTGAATAATCACGGCAAGCAATAGTTTTTTTTGTCTCAAACAACGATATTGTTTAGCTTCATTTGATTATCAAGTCAAACACAGTGTAGTATGGAGAGGAATAAATAATCACTATTATCATTGTTGATATGCTCACTAACCTAACATTTTCCACGTCTTGTTCCTATAGCTGGCACTGGCGCGGTATTTGCCATTAGAGCACCTAGTCCATACACAAATATGTCACTCTGTGGTTGTATTTATATTGTAACTACAATTCGAACATCCTAGAAAACCTAACCTGCTGTTAATGCAGGTAGAATATTCTCACCACATGGATTATTTGGCACGGCATTGGTGGTTACTTCACATGTTTATTTGAGTTAATTGTTTCGGTTGCAGAAAAAATAGCATGTTTAATTCGGATCAAAAGTGACTTTGTTCGACTCGCTTATTTTGCTTTCGCTCGGCTTCGCTAAACGCTCCGCCTCGCAAATGCAAAATTCGCTTGTCAAACAAAGTGTCACTTTTGATCCTAATAAAACAATCTACTATTCTCTTCCAGTTTCTGAAGGACCTACTGAGAGTAGGCGTACCTGTATACTGGGTGACAAAGGGGCATGTGGACTATTTCGATCCGGAAATATCGAACAGGTTGTGTGGCAGTTCAGAGTGTTCTCCACATTCTGTTAGCACGCAAATATACATGGCAGCATCGAAACAAAACATGTAAGTCAATTGTCAGTTGAAATCATCTAGTTTTTATGTAAGCTTCTGGCAAAATCAGGAGATTTCAGACAACAATCTGAGAATCGGCAACATTGTCAACGAAAATATGGAAGAGCTTTCAGGTTTCTGGCAGAAATTCGAAATAACCTCTAGAATTTCACACTTCTGGGATAGATTCGAGACTGATGGAAGTCGAAAATAGTGATTTTGACTTAGAATTTCAGTCAGAAATCTCAACGTTCTTTCATATTCCCATTAACAGTGTTGCCAATTGTCAGTTTCTGGCACAAATACTCGGAATAACCTCTAGAGTTTTACACTTTTGGAATAGAGTCGATTGATGGCCGAAAAAGATTATTTCGGTCAGAAATGTCAATGATATTTCGTAATTTCGTCAACAATGTTGCCAATTCTCAGTTGTAAGTGAAATTCACATTTCGCCCACCTATACAGAGTGTAATTTAATTGATGGCTGAAAATATCGAAAACAATTCCTTACCTCATTTTAAAAAGAAACGTTCATATTAACATATATGCCCTAAACCTCTTAACTTTAGAGCTATAGGGTGTTAAGATTTTATTTCCTATTTATCGTTTATGAATAATTGTCAAAATGAGACCGCAACGTAATCGATCAAATGTCATTATTTCATTATGATTTGCCCCAAAATGTCAGTCAGTCCTCGTCACAAGGCAATGTCTGTGAATATCTCAAACAGCTCGTAGTCGCGAGCACTTAAAGACCTCGCCCGAAGTTCTTGCCTGAGGACATTATATGATAATTCCTACGTGGGATATCTTCAAGACCTCAGTGAGCTCATCCAACGCGGCGGACATTTGGAGGAGATATAACGCTCTAGGAGATCTCTTGAAGAAGTTAAAAAAGGCATCACAATGTCCTAGAAGGATATCTTCGAGATATCTTCAGGACCTCTTTGTGCTGCCTGGGAGCCGAACGATGTCGATGATACCCGAGGCGGAAAAGCAACAATGCACATCATATTGACTGTATCAGTGTGTATGTATGGGCTTCTGCAAACTGATGTCCATTGGACACTATTTATTAGGTACTTTTCCTGGACATTGCCCAGCGAGCACAAAAACATCTCAGAGATGTTAAAAGTACGAGATTTTGAGACATTGAACCTCCACTGCGATGTTCTGTTCACACATGAATAGAACTATTATAGAACAGCCAATGTCCGCCGCAGGCGGCAATTATCGGGATGTCTTTGATGTCACAAAACTACCTTCTCCCTCGAGTTCTCCCTAGTTCTTTTTAAAGCCTTTTCATGGACACAACAGAACATTTTCAACGCTTCTTGCGCACATTAAATCGCTGTAAAAAAATCATTTTCGAGGTACTTTTCTGAAGCCTTTTGTCAAAATGAACTTTTGCATTTAGGATTCCATTTCCCTTGAATGAAAAAATGCATTAAAAATAGATTGAACATAAAAATATTTTCTTGATATGAAATTAGCTTCTTCATCGGTTTCTGAGTAGTGCTTACTATACACAGACATATAATTGGAAATAGGTTTCCCAATTTTTGAAATGTTCTCCACAATGCATAATTTTGCAAATGCGGAGAAGTTGTGTATTGATGAATTTGTACTTTCATATATTGATTACACTGAGGCACCGAACAACACATCTTGCATCTGATGGTCATTATCACAAACTAAATAAGTCTTCTAACACAATAAACTTCACCAAATTCCTTTCTGTTCGTTAGCAACGTGATGTAAGCGTGACACGCTGCAAACGCGAATGCCAATTGCGAACAAGAAGAGCAAAATCGAAAACAAATCAGAATTCATCGTATTGTGACGTAAGCATGAGACGTTGTGGTGGGGCAAACAAAGAAAGGACACAAAAGAACAAAAACAATACTTTCAATACCCTCCTAAGACCTCTTTGGGAAGTGCATATTACGCCTCAAAAAAACATCCTCATGCCTACATTTCTAAAACATCCCAAAACATCCCAAGGATACCTCTCAGTATGCAAACAAGGAAATGCCACAGAAGAACAAAAACAATACTTCAATATCCTTCAAAGACTTCTTTGGTCAGTGCATATTACGTCTCAAAATAACATCTACATGCCAACATTTTCAAAACATCCCAAAACATCCCAGGGATGTTTGTGCTCGCTGGGTGATAAGATGTTTGCCAATGGACATCCTTTTGGTTGTCCAGAATGTATCCTGCGAGAGACATCTTGTGTTACTAGGGAAGGGTGCTTCGCTAGTGAACATATTGGGGATTCAATCTCGTGTAATCCAAAAGATAAAAACCTTGTTATGCTCTATTTTTATATCTTCCGTTTTCCAGCACGTACCTATCGATCCAAGCCAACTCTTGGCTGGACGACTTCAAAGAGTGGAGCCAAACGGAAGGGTGTTGCAAGTACTTCGATGAGAACGAGTACTTTTGCCCTCACACTTACAATGAAGGCTGCAGCCCTTGCGACTACGCGTCGGTGAACAAAACGAAAAGCATCTCCCAGTACGACTACTATCGGACGTATCTGCCGCACTTTTTGAACGACAATCCGAATCCGTCTTGTGCCAAAGGGGGACATGCAGCCTATGCCAGAGTAAGAGTTTGACATAACAGTATTTTATTCCAGATTTTGAGTCAAAATGTTGAAAAAGGGAAATGAAATTGGAGAGAGAGGTTTTCAGCATTTCCTCACCCAACCACATTCATCATATAAAATTTGATATTTATTAATTAAATGAAAAGAATCTCATATGAATGCTTGCCACATGGCATGTGAGCAAAGAAAAAAGAAAATAATGTCTTGCCAAATGAACCACAACGCAAAACAACACTTGAAAAAAAAAACAGTACTTATATGGGGTTAATGCCTTATCGACTCGGGTACTATTTATATTCGGAATCGATGCTAGGTTCGCAATTTTCCGTAATGGGCTTGGCCGTTACCTTTCGACATTGCATACCTAGGTATCATCGCACGGTAACCGTTTTTTCTTGCAAATTTCATAGGAACTGACGTTTATGAACTCCGCTGACCTGATCTAAACCACAATGTACTGGATGTTTTGATTTGAAAAAGTCAATTTATGATAAAAGCTCTTGAAATGAACGAGAGTTTGAGTTATGTTAGTTCATGGGCATTTGTACTTCTTGACAATATCCTATAGATATCATATACATGTCCAATTCTGGTCGGGATATCCCTGGAAATGGATATCCTGAGGATTTCCATAAGATATCCACAGCAATTATGAATGTGTTCAATTTGCAAGATTAATTTTGATAGAAATCAGCTCTTCAGGAGAAATCTAAAATTGCAATAAAATACAGGGTATTCTATTTGGAATAACAAAATTGTTGCTACTTTTTTATAGAAGCGGCAACACTGTATTGCTGAAAATATTTTGAATGAAGAGAGCATATTCTAAAATATGAGCATGAATATTTTCATGGATCTCTCCCAACTGATTCTCGAATAATGTGAAGAGAGTAAATTTGAAATTTTTATAAACATTGTGACTTCTCTTCTTGATAATGAATGTATTCTACAGGGTGGCCCAGTTTGTAATACGAAAAATTCAACAGTGTATTGTACTCGTTGAAATGATGAAAAAAGTTCATATAAACATATACTTTCAAACGCGTAGTTTTCCAGATATAGGGTGTTGAAAATACGAGCCAGAATATCGTTTCTTAATAAAAAGTTCGAAACGGTTTGAGATAAATCAACAAAATTTCTCACAGATACTAAACTTTTCACGCTCTACAAGATGAAACAGTGAGCTTAGCACTCTTGTTTTAATTACGATCAAATATTATTATTGAACTGAAAATTTTACGACATATCTGAACTGATTTAACTCGAAGACGGCGAATTGCATCAAAAACTCACAAGTGAGCTTTTTCACGCAGAGACCTATGTTTTTTTCATATTTTGAACTACAAATTGAGAAAGAAATGCACATATGAAAATTGGGGTGATTTTTTCCTTCAACACCCCCATATTCAGCCGCCACTGAATTACTTCATGAAATAATTTTTATTTCATCTTATAGAGCATGAAAAATTTGGTATCTGTGAGAAATTTTGTGATTTATTTCAAACCGTTTGGAACTTTTCATCAAAAAGAAAATTCAGACTTGAATTTTCAACACCCCATATCTCTAAAACGACCCGAAACGGCCCACTCTAAGAAGAAAGTTTCATATGAACGTATGACCTAAACGTCGTACCTTTTGAGATACAGGGTGGCAAAGTTCTCAAAAATAAATATAGCCTACTACAATGAAAAGTTATGATTCCAAGATACCAAATACGAATACGAAGTTCTTAAATTATGAATTGTATTACTGAAATTTGATCTAAAAAATAAAACCTATTTCTCTGCATTGTGATATTGTCATACATTACTATAATCATGTAGTGAAGAGCTTTTTATTTTTTTAAGCGAAAACCGTGCATCAGATGTGTAAAAAATGTGGTGTCTGCCAAAATAGGCATGTGAAATTCCATGCGAACGCCATCGCCTCCCCAGATAATGACATTCAATTATGAAACACCCTGTGTATGAACTTTTTTGTATTACAAACCGGACCACCCTGTATATATTATCCACACAATGTATCTTTTATTGTAGGGGATGAACTATATATCAGATGACAAAGGTGTCACCAACATTGTTTCCTCGAATATCATGTCTTACCACTCCATCGTGAAAACATCTTCCGATTACATAGAAGCGCTAAGATATGCTAGGTTCATCGCTCGCAACTTGACAGAGACTTTGAATGTGGCTGGCGTTGAGATTTTTCCATACAGGTGAGTACAGTGAGATTTATAAATTGACGTATATTGGACAAACATCTCGAAATAGAGGGAAACGATTTAATGAACACAATAATACATTGATATCGATAGTCTTGTCGGAATGTTCGAAACTGTGTGTGTGTATCCATTGTCCCAAGGAATCTGAATTGTTCACATTTTCCACTGAAAGATTATAGTATAACGGACTGGAATCTTATTATATCTTATTATATCAGGGGCAACATTGTGACAATATTGTATCCAACCATAAAAATATTCCATGTGTTGTATCGAAAACGTCTCTTTCCTCGTATGAATGGTTTTATCAAGCAATTTGACAGCTTCGGCATTCCTCATAGAATAGAATAGAATAGAAGTTTATTGACTATTCTATGTACATACAAAGCACACTCATAGCTGGTCAAAAACATTTATACATGTAAATTTGTAAATAAACAGACAATTTTTATTAAAATACATACTCATAAAATCACTGTGTGAACTGTGTGATGATCATTATTTGTTTTGTTTTTTAGACATCGGCACTCAGATATTCCTCAACGGAGTAGAAACTGTTGCTAACTAAAATGTGTTTTATGGTTGTTTTGAATAGCTCAAATTTCATTTGTTTGATATTATCTGGCATCTTATTGAAAAGTCGAAGATTGCGAGAGTTCCGTGCAGATACTTCTAGACGGTATCGGGGATTTAATAGGAGATTATTATTTCTTGTATTGTACTGGTGTATGTCATTATAAGCAGTATAAGTTCTTACGTGTTTATGAATCTCAAGGAGACTCTGATATATGAAGACTGATGGTAAGGTCATTATTCCCAGATTAGCAAATATAGATTTACATGAGTCTCTAGGTCCTGCACCTGTAATAACTCTCACAGCCTTTTTCTGTATTATAAAAACACGGGAGACCTGATAGGAATTTCCCCATAATAAGGTTCCATAGCTAATATGCGAGTGAAATAGTGCAAAATATGATACTCTCAGTACATCGGGGCTCACGGATTGTTTCAATTTTCGCAGTAAAAAAATTTGGCTTGATAATTTTCTACATAGACTGTCGATGTGAGACGACCAGTTTAGTTTATCATCTAGAGTAATACCAAGCAATTTAGCAGTATTTCCTCGTGAAATGTTATTATTACAAGAGAATATAATAGTTTTTGAGACTTGCTTTCATTTTGCTTGAGCAAATTACTAACTAGCCACTCATAAATTTTCGTAAGTGCTGTATTATCTTTGATTTCAATGTTCGCCAGACTTCTGTCTGAATGATAAAATGTTGCATCATCAGCAAATAATATACACTTTGATGGACTCATGTTCACAAAAATATCGTTCACGTATATTATGAATAAAAGAGGCCCAAGTACCGAGCCTTGTGGAACTCCAAAATTATTCTGTTGAGACGTAGATATACCGTCATTGAAGCCATTATAATAAACAGTGTGTGTGATTTCAACCCGAAAAAGCAAGAATTCTTCAATGTATTACTAAAAATATTCACATTTTGAAGGCCTACTTTTGTTTGTGAATGGGTAAAACGACTGGAAATATTATATCTAAATTGTTGTTCTCAAATTGTTCTCAAATTGTTCTTGAATTGCAACCCTCAGAAGTCTTCGAGAGTCTTGTGCGAGCAAGGAATCTTCTTGCAGTCTTTGGAGAGTGTTTGTCTGTCATTCTGTTGTGTTATATTTGACAGCTCTTCATCAATCGAGAGGATTCTCAAGTATCTGAGTGGTGAAGTGTATGAAAATCGATTTACTTGAGTTTTCAAAATGATGAATCTCATCACTTTAGATTCATGTATTTTTGATTTACCCAGTGACATTTTCCATGACCACCTCACCAGTTATATCAACGCCTTTTATAACAGGGTGAATCATGAAGGCGAGAACTTTGTAGGACCCCGCACTTTTAGTACGTAAAATGGTTCTCGGTGAAATTTTCTGAATTTTCAGTATGTTGTAGAATTCGATGAATTGATTGAACCTGCAGAATCGTAAAGTTCTTTGATGAATAGATTCTGAGATACAGGGCGTTGAAGTTACAAATCGGTATTTTTCATTTAATTATTTTCTCGAAATTCAAAGTACAATTTTCTTCGCTCATATCATTAACGAACCTCCATATTACTCAACATAACTCAGATGGTTCAGATGATGTAATTGTTTACAGAGTGAAACATATAAACATTTCAGTGATGTCTGAAAATTCGATGTAATGATGAAATATCGAAAAAATAATTTAGGCATGCAATATACTATTCCCATTCCATCATGAATCACAATTCATACATTTCATACAGGGTGATTTGAAAAATTGGTGACATCTAAGACCGATTTATCCATACACATCCTGTATATTCGAGTGAATTGTTAACCTTCCAAGATAGCTGATACCGTATGAATATGATTTCGTTGAGATATATAGGGTGATCATGAAGATTTTCGATGATGAAAATGACAAAAAATCGTGTTTTTTTAAATCACCCTGTTATTCATGATTAACTCGGTGAAATTCCCTAATTATTTTTTAATATATTCATCATTCGCTCCTCAACGCTGTCTTGAAAATTCAGTTTCCTATCATGACGGGTGTCATAGTTATTAATTCAGGAACTTACCATTTGCATGAAGAGTTGAAGAGACTTGTTCACTTACATTCGCATAGTGGCCGATATTTTTCACAAATAGTGAAACGTGAGAATCTGGAGACGAAAATAAGTTTAGTATTCATATACAGGGTGAACATAAGAAATTCAATAACAATAGCAGATATATGAATTTAATAATATTAATATAATGTACAGATAGTTAGGCGAATTTCGTTGGTATACAAGCTCTGCCAAAATGAAAAACGAACAATACCTAGGAGATGGGAGAATGATTCGGTCTTTCACGCTTCCATTTCTAATAGGGAGAGTTGAATCCTGGAATCGAAATTCGCCTAACTATCTGTACATTATATTAATATTATTAAATTCATATATCTGCTATTGTTATCGAATTTCTTATGTTCACCCTGTATATGAATACTAAACTTATTTTCGTCTCCAAATTCTCACGTTTCACTATTTGTGAAAAATATCGGCCACTATGCGAATGTAAGTGAACAAGTCTCTTCAACTCTTCATGCAAATGGTAAGTTCCTGAATTAATAACTATGACACCCGTCATGATAGGAAACTGAATTTTCAAGACAGCGTTGAGGAGCGAATGATGAATATATTAAAAAATAATTAGGGAATTTCACCGAGTTAATCATGAATAACAGGGTGATTTAAAAAAACACGATTTTTTGTCATTTTCATCATCGAAAATCTTCATGATCACCCTATATATCTCAACGAAATCATATTCATACGGTATCAGCTATCTTGGAAGGTTAACAATTCACTCGAATATACAGGATGTGTATGGATAAATCGGTCTTAGATGTCACCAATTTTTCAAATCACCCTGTATGAAATGTATGAATTGTGATTCATGATGGAATGAGAATAGTATATTGCATGCCGAAATTATTTTTTCGATATTTCATTATTACATCGAATTTTCAGACATCACTGAAATGTTTATATGTTTCACTCTGTAAACAATTACATCATCTGAACCATCTGAATTATGTTGAGTAATATGGAGGTTCGTTATTGATATGAGCGAAGAAAATTGTACTTGGCATCTTTGAATTTCGAGAAAATAATCAAATGAAAAATACCGATTTGTAACTTCAATGCCCTGTACCTCAGAATCTGTTCATCAAAGAACTTTACGATTCTGCAGGTTCAATCAGTTCATCGAATTCTACAACATACTGAAAATTCAGAAAATTTCACCGAGAACCATTTTACGTACTAAAAGTGCGGGGTCCTTTGCCGTTGAATAACTAACACTCTATGAGATATTGGGTTCAAACTTTGTATGGACGTATTTCAGCTATGCCTAAATTGACTAGGCTAGTCACCGTTTCGAAAAATCAAATCGTCTGATAGTGGTTTTTGCAATTTTGACTCCATACACAAACGAAAGCAGGCCTTGAAAATCTGAATATTTCAGATTATTCCACATTTTAGAATAAAGCTGTATATTATGGAATATTTGTTTCTGAAAATTGGCCGGTTTCGGGTTGAAATCGCCATCACTGTATGTTGGACAAACAAGACAAAATAACTGACACCGATTCAAAGAACACAACCATGACATCAAGTGATTTTATTGTTTTTCAGTGTATTTTACGTGTATTTCGAGCAGTACCTGACCATCTGGCAGGATACCCTTGGTTCCCTGGCCTACTCCATACTGTGCGTTTGGCTAACGACGTTCCTTTTGACAGGATGCAGCATTTTCTCGTCTCTGTCCATAACGGTTACCGTGGTCATGATCATCACGAACATGTTGGGCATGATGTGGCTGTGGGACATCTCTCTGAATGCCATTTCATTGGTCAATCTCGTCATGGTGAGCAAAAAAAATTGGGAATTGATTTTCAAAGTTTAGACTTCTGCGAAATATTTTCATTGTACAGGCAGTCCCATGTTCGATGTCTTTATACAGGCTGTATCTAAATAACACCGAAACAATCCAAGCGGTGTTTCCTAGCAAATGAAGTTCATATATACATGAATCCTAACTTGCTCCGTTTTTGAGATACAGAGGACGTTGAAGTTGAAAGTATTAATTGTTTTTATTTATAACCCCCCTGTATAAACTTTCATGATGCCAAAATTCAGTATGGATGGAAACTGAGAAAGCTCCAAAATTTCAGAATTATTCTTATTGGGGTTATTGAGTAAGCTCAATGGAAGTCTTCAAAACGCCAACATTAAAATTTGGAGTCAAATCGAATTTTTATTATTTCCTCAAAAACTAAACTAGATACAAAAATCACACAAATTGAGAAGACACAAGACAATTGAGAAATGAATAGAAGAAAGATTTTTCATGGAAATATTAATACCCTAATAACACAATTATGTCTCATGGATATCCTTAGGACGTCCTGTTGGGACATTTAGGACGTCCATAGGATGTTCGGATTTGGTACCATGGACGTCCATCGGACATCTGTGGGACGCACAAATGTTCCACTTGAGGAGCAACTAGGGACGTTCTTGCGGGATGTCTCTGGGACAACTATCGAATAACTAAATCCTACAGTATTCGTCATCGAGCACTACGGAGGACATCCTTAGGACATCCGTAGGACAACTTATCAGCAACGCTGAGGGATATCAATTGGATGTCCATAGAATGTCTCAGGGACGTACGAAGTATTCTTGATTTTGAATTTTTCTGGGTCCCTTTAGGACCAGATCTTACATAACTGATGAGGACATCCAGTTGAGTTGATGGTCCGTAGAAGGTCCCCAATAGATCCTGAAAAAAATTCCCAAGGATGTCCAATAAACTAACTATTTATAGCCTACGAGCAATCATTCGTCGGCGAGGTGTAAGTTAACGTCCTCGCAGAGACAACACATTGAAAGTACCGACTGGGACGTCCGTACGACGTTATTTCTAGGACATTGGAAGAGTACAGTTCATGTACCAATTGGGACATCCGACGGATATCCCTAAGGGACATTCGAAGGATGTCCCTAAGGGACATTTTGATTGTTATACGATCCTGGAAATATAAAGGCCGTTTGTGCAGAGAGATTCGAAGAAATGTACCATCAGGGACATTATATAAGATCTGAAGTCATGTCAGAATATGTACTACTCGGACATCCGATGGATGTTCCTAAAGGAACGTTCAAAATCATATCTCATCAGGGACATGCCAAGGACATCCTACAATATGTACCACGTGGGATGTCTAAGGGACGCTATTTCTAGGACATTTGAAATGATGTACCTGCTGGGACATTCCGTGAACGTCATTGCTCAGACATTGCATGAGATGTCCGGGATGGGACGTCTGACTTGAATTGTACCAAATAGGGACGTCCCTAGGACGTTGTGTGCTATTGGGGTACCATGTATCTCGAAAACGAAGCGAGTTAGGACACATGTTAATATGAACTTTATTTCCTAAAATGTTACAAGGAATCACTCCTTGAATTTTTTCGGTGTTATTTAGATACACCCTGTATAGGGAATATCTCACTCATGGACAATATTGTCTGTTATATCTGAATATTGACAGCTCATTTCGAAAAGCTGACTTTTAATGCCACTGGATTCTACGTGAAACAATTCATAAAAGGCAGTTTTCACTTTTTCGATAACTTGAAAGATAGCTGAGGTACAGGGAGGGTCCAAAAATGTAACATTTTTAATTTCGCCCTGTATCTCAAAAACGAATCGTGCTATGAAAATTCTGTTCTTGGTATCGTGACTTTCCCAAGAAAGTAGCCAAGAAACTACAAATTTCATCTTTGAAAATAAATGAGATTTCCCGTAAGGACATTAAAAATGGGACAGCCTGTACATTCAATCATCATGTTTAATGATATACTCTTGTTTTCAGAGTGTGGGGATATCTGTTGAATTTTGTGGTCACATTGTCCATTCATATGAGCATTCAGAGAAAGAAAGTTCAGTTGAAAGAGCTACTGACGCTTTGGCAACCACTGGCATTAAGGTGAGTTGAACCATGATGTTCGATTAATTAACAAAGTGAGAAATGAAAATACACTAAGCCGGTCCTGTTCAATATTCTCATGAATGGAGTTTTTATATTTCGTTCACATTTTTTTATTCATCCGTCGTGCATTTTATAGGCATTATACGATAAATTGAAGAAAAAAAACTCGAAAGATCATTTTATGGTATTTCAGAGCCTTAAATTTCAAGATATATATGTCTGCTAGAAATGACTGGGAAATCCCAATTTGTTGTTTTCTCATTTTGGATACAATTCTATTTGTTTTCAGGTCATCAGTGGCATCACTTTGACGAAATTTTGTGGAATAATCGTGTTGGCGTTCGCAAATTCAGAAATTTTCAAGATTTTCTATTTCCGGATGTATATGGGGATAGTCGTTATTGGTGCTCTACATGGTCTCATCTTTTTGCCAGTATTTTTGAGTTTCGTAGGTAAGAATTCATAAGAGTGCTGTAAAATTGAACTTTTATGGGAACCCAATTTTCGATTCGCCCAATTTTCGATTTACCCACAGTATCCGAACATACCCAAAAGACGTGTTGATGTCAAATAATGAAACGAGAATTATCAACAATCATTTCACATTCAAATATGTCGTTGGGCCAACATTTCGTTTCACCCAATTTTCGATTCACCCAATTCTCGATTCCCCCAATTTTCGATTCGCCCAATTTTCGATTCACCCAATTTTCGATTGTTGAAAAATAAATATACACTCTAGAATGAGGGTTCATTTGAACGAGTCAAGTCAGATTAATTATTGAACAAAGAGGTCTAATTTCTTCTTTCAAGTAATTTTCCGAAAAATATAATTTTTAGGAAGGTTCATTCAGGCAGATTAAGGTTAGATTATTCGCTTGGGCCGAGTAAGGTAAGATTGTTTTGAAAAAGAAGTCTTTCATGTTCTCTCAAATAATTAAGTATTCCGTAAGGAAGAACGTTCATTCCCTAACAACACAGGGATGTCCTAGGTACGTCCCTTTTTTGTCTCGCGGTACAAGGACATGATTGGGACATCCAGGGGATATCCTCTGCAGTGGTTGTCCAGTGGACATCCCGCCCGGTACATCCCTAGGTTATCCTATTCGTGTCCCTAGAGTATCAGATATCCATTCACATCAGAGTAATTGAATTTCATCAAACTATTGAGTTGAATTTTTTTGAAAATGGTTGTTTTTCTTGCGGAAAATGATTGTAATGAAAATAAAGAATAAAGTCTCAGAACTTCTTGAGAAATTACCATTTTTCGCAGACAGAAATCGTACATGCATAATGCCCATCATTTTTAAACACTTCAGGAGGCATGATTGGGACGTCCTAGGAATATCCTTTCATCGTACTTGGTACATCCCAGGGACGTACCAGAAGGACATCCCTTGGATGCATTTTTTTGTGGCCAGCGGATGTCCCTGGGACATCCCTAGTATGTACGTTGTCCCGACAAAGGACATCCCTGGGATGTCCTAGTATAAAATCAGGGACGTCCCTGGGATGTCCCCAGGATGTACTGGTGTTGTTAGGGTTCAGACCGAGTTAGGTAGGTTAGGTTAGGTTAGGTATGGGTTAGGTTAGGTAGTTTGGAAAAAGGTAGTCTCCTTCCTTATGCAGAATAGAATATTTGTCTTCCTTTTATATTACGTCCAAATTGGGGTTGATCGAAATTCGGGTGAATTGAAATTGGGGTGAATCTAATTTGGAGCGAATCGAAAATCGGGAGAATCGATAATTGGAGGAATCAAAAATCGGGTAAATCGAAAATTAGGTGAATCGAAAATTGTGTGAATTGAAAAATTGGGCGAATCGAAAATTGGGCCTATCGAAATATGTACCATACCATTGTGTGTATCGAAAATTTAAAATATTTTATAATGATAACAACACATCGTTCGGGTATATTCGGAGATGGTGGAAAATTGGGAGAATCGAAAATTGGGTGAATCGAAAATTGGGCCGAACGAAACCTACCCACATTTTTTGCTGTATGTGTGTGTATGGTTTAATCAAAACTTTTTTTTTGCAGGTTTGATAAAATATCCACTGGTTGGAAGTCAATCTCAAAGTGAGGGAATCGTCCCAGATGACAGGAACAGCATTTCTCACATTGGTTGATATCAATCATATCTCTTCGAAATCAATAGATCAACAGACAGAGCCGGATTTAGAGGTCTGGAGACCCTGGGGCAACAAAAGAGTGGAGGCCCCTTGGCTCCTAATTGTTTTCCATTTGTAATTAACAAATTTCTCGGTCAATATTTTTTTGGGAAACCAACTCGATCATTTGAAATATACAGGGTGTTTCTTGAGTACATGTAAAGAATTCTGGAGCATGTTGCTGACGTTTAAATAAGAAGAAAAGTTTGTATAAACATATGTCCGCAAATTATTCATTCTGAGGAGTGCCGAATTTTGATTGTTATATTTCGGTTTTTTGTGGACCGTTTTCAAAATAATCGTATTATTCTGATGAGATACCAAATTTCACTCAAATATCACGTTCATTCCTGAATTTACTCACAAAAAACAGAAAAACTAATCAAACTTCGACACTTTATTGTATCTCAGAAATGAATAACTTGCTGACATATGTTTATACGAACTTTTCTTCTCATTTTGACCTCAGCAACATGCTCCTGTAATTTTTACGCATACTTAAGAAACACCCGGTAGAAATATTGTCAAAAACAAGAATTATCTGATAGAAAGTTTTGTCCCATCGGGCTGCAGCCTGAGATGCCCTCCCCTAAATCCGGCACTGTCAACAGAGTAATCTTAAGCTGCATGAACTTAGTATTTATTTTAGTGCTTCATTTTATATTACAGTATGTAAACTGAATAATAAACAGAGTTACATTTTTGAACGTTTTTCAATTCTTCAGAAATTGTATTTACACCCTTGATTCTATAATTAAACGCTTTAGAACAAAGTTGATTTTTGAGTCTAAAAAAAAACGAACGCTGTGCTTCTAGACCGCACTAGAGGATGCCTAAAGGGCCCTAAATACCAAATTTGAACGCTCTAGGACAAATTCGATTTTTGGGTCTGAAAATGAAAGAAGGTTAACAACCCCTTTGAACTTTTTTCGATTCCAGGCAGGCCTCAGAATGGGCTGATAACTTGTATACGGAGTGTTCTCGTCGTGCTAAACACTAATCTGAAATCAGTTTGTCTTTATCTCTAATAGTTTTCCAGATATAAATAATTTTTGGAAAAATAAATGCGCCTCATATCGCTGAAAACTTCTTCAACACATCCCAATTCGTCTCCAGAACACTGCTATGAACTCGATTTTGCATTCATGTCAACGGTGTGGAGTGCATAAAAAATTCGGTCCGAAACTGGGTCAAAAATTACCTTTTTTTCAATTTTGGGACTAGAAAGCTGTGCTTCTAGTCCGCACTAGAGGATGCCAAAAGGGCCCTGAATACCAAATCTGATCGCTCTGGGACAAAGTTGATTTTTGGGTCTGAAAATGAAAGAAGGTTAACCCCTTTGAACTTTTTTCGATTCCAGACAGGCCTCAGAATGGGCTGATAACTTGTATACAGGGTGTTCTCGTCGTGCTAAACACTAATCTGAAATCGGTTTGTCTTTATCTCCATAAGTTTTCGAAATATGAGCAATTTTGTTAAAAATAATTGCCGTTGAAAATCGCTGAAAACTTCTCCAACACATCCCAATTCGTCCTCAGAATACTGCTATGAACTCGATTTTGCATTCATGTCAGCGGTGTGGACTGCATAAAAAAATTCGGTCCGGAACGAGGTCAAAATTCACCTTTTTTTCAATTCTGGGATTAGAAAGCTGTGCTTCTAGACCGCACTAGAGGATGCCAAAAGGGCCCTAAATACCAAATTTGATCGCTCTAGGACGAAGTTGATTTTTTGGTCGGAAAATGAAAGAAGGTTAACCCCTTTGAACTTTTTTCGATTATCGACAGACCTCAGAATGAGCTGAAAACTTGCATACAGGGTGTTCTCGCTGTGCTGAAAAATAATATGCAAACGGTTTTTCTTTATCTCTAATAGTTCTCGAGATATGGCAATTTTGTGAAAAATAATTGTGGCTGAAAATCGCTGAAAACTTCTCCAACACATCCCAATTCGTCTCCAGAATACTGCTATGAACTCGATTTTGCACTAATTTCAGCGGTGTGGACTGCATAAAAAATTCGGTCCGAAACTGGGTCAAAAATTACCTTTATTTTCAATTTTGGGGCTAGAGAGCTGTGCTTCTAGACCGCACTAGAGGATGCCGAAAGGGCCCTAAATACCAAATTTGATCGCTCTAGGACAAAGTTGATTTTTGGGTCTGCAAATGAAAGAAGGTTAACCCCTTTGAACTTTTTTCGATTCCAGGCAGGCCTCAGAATGGGCTGAAAACTTGCATACAGGGTGTTCTCGTCGTGCTGAACTCTAATCTGAAATCGGTTCTTCTTTATCTCTAATAGTTCTCGAAATATGAGCTTTCTTGTGAAAAATAATTGTTGTTGAAAATCGCTGAAAACTTCTCCAACACATCCCAATTCGTCTTCAGAATACTGCGATGAACTCGATTTTGCACTAATTTCAACAGTGTTGAGTGCATAAAAAATTCGGTCCGGAACGAGGTCAAAAATTACCTCTTTTTCAATTCTGGGACTAGAAAGCTGTGCTTCTAGTTCGCACTAGAGGATGCCAAAAGGACCCTGAATACCAAATCTGATCGCTCTGGGACAAAGTTGATTTTTTGGTCTGAAAATGAAACAAGGTTAACCCCTTTGAACTTTTTTCGATTATCAACAGGTCTCAGAATGGGCTGAAAACTTGCATACAGGGTGTTCTCGATGTGCTGAACAAGAATATGAAAACGGTTTTTCTTTATCTCTAATAGTTTCCGAGATATAAGCAATTTTAGGAAAAATAAATGCGCCTCAAAATCGATGAAAACTTCTCCAACACATCCCAATTCGTCTCCAGAATACTGCTATGAACTCGATTTTGCATTCATTTCAGAGGTGCTGACTGCATAAAAAATTCGGTCCGAAACTGAGTCAAAAATTACCTTTTTTTAATTTTGAGACTAGAAAGCTGTGCTTCTAGGCAGCACTAGAGGATGCCAAAAGGGCCCTAAATACCAAATTTGAACGCTCTAGGACAAAGTTGATTTTTGGGTCTGAAAATGAAAGAAGGTTAACCCCTTTGAACTTTTTTCAATTCCAGACATGCCTCAGAATGGGCTGAAAACTTGTATACAGGTTGTTCTCGTCGTGCTAAACAATAATCTGAAATCGGTTTGTCTTTATCTCCACAAGTTTTCGAAATATGAGCAATTTTGTGAAAAATAATTGTTGTTGAAAATCGCTGAAAACTTCTCCAACACATCCCAATTCGTCTCCAGAATACTGCTATGAACTCGATTTTGCATTCATGTCAGCGGTGTGGAGTGCATAAAAAATTCGGTCCGAAAGGGGGTCAAAAATTACCTTTTTTCAAATTTTGGGGCTAGAGAGCTGTGCTTCTAGACCGCACTAGAGGATGCCACGAGGGCCCTAAATACCAAATTTGATCGCTCTAGGACAAAGTTGATTTTTGGGTCTGAAAATGAAAGAAGGTTAACCCCTTTGAACTTTTTTCATTACCAGAAATGCCTCAGAATATGCTGAAAACTTGTATACGGGGTGTTCTCGTCGTGCTAAACACTAATCGGTTTGTCTTTATCTCAAATAGTTTTCGAAATATGAGCAATTTTGTGAAAAATCATTGTGGCTGAAAATCGCTGAAAACTTCTCCCACATTCCGATTCATCTCCAAAATACTACTATGAACTCGATTTTGCATTCATTTCAGCGGTGTTGAGTGCATAAAAAATTCGGTACGAAACTGGGTAGAACTTTTTTTTTTTTTTCAATTTTGGGACTAGAAAGCTGTGATTCTAGTCCGCACTAGAGAGTACCAAGAGGGCTCTTATAACCAAATTTGAACGTTCTAGGATAAAATTGATTTTTGGGTCTGAAAATGAAACTTTTTTCAAGTCCAGGCATGCCTCAGAATGGGCTGAAAACTTGTATACAGGGTGTTCCCGTCGTGTTGAACAATAATATGAAAACGGTTTTTCTTTATCTCAATTCGTTTCGTAAATATGAGCAATTTTGTGAAAAATAATTGTGGCAGACAATCGCTGAGAATTTCTCCAACACATCCCAAATCGTCTCCAGAATACTGCTATGAACTCGATTTTGTATTCATTTCAGCGGTGTGCAGTGCATACAAAATTCGGTCCGAAACTAGGTCAGAAATTAGATTTTTCTGCAACCCACACAAAATTGGTCTTTCTGCTTCTAGTTTTCCATAGTGCCACCCTATAGGGTTCCAAATATGAAAAATAAATTCAACATAGTGAATTATTCACGAATTTTTCGGTTTTCTTCAGGTTCATTGTGGTCAGGGAATTTGTATAAGTACAAGGTGTTCTGAAAAGCTTGAACGTTCTCATTTATTCGTGAAATTTGTGTATTAGAAAAGAAATGAAACAAATATTTCTGATAATGATTTATTAAATATAAACGATTCATTTTTCTTAAAATTGACAAGCTTCAAATCCTCTTTAATTACAAAAGCTGTGGTTGCATCTGGCAAAATTAAAATGCAGAGTAACTATTTTACAAAATATACACATACATTTCCTAACTCTATTTTAATACTTTCGATTTAGAGAGTACATCACAAAACTTTCAGAAGTTTCGTATATTGATTCCTGAAACGGTTTGTTTTCTTCAAAGTGTCTCACTCCAAGTGTGAACATCCTTTAAAAATTCAAAAATGCGACTTTCAATGCTATTTGTCACCAAATCGACTTGATTCACCAAGTTCAGAGATACAAGCAGAAGTGATCACACTAGAACTGTGACACTTTGTATCATCCCAGACAGCACCAGATATTCCATGAATCTCCCTATCATATTCCTTTTGGAATATTGGAATATTCTAGAAATAATCTGGAATATTCCGGAATATCTGTGGAATATTCTCTAAATATGCGAATGGGAATTCCTCAGATAATCATAGAATATACCCAAAAGAATATTCTATGTTGAATGTTCCTGGAAAATTCCAATAAACATATTCTAAAATAAAAAAAAGTGACCCAAGTAGGGATCGAACTCGTGACCTCGAGACTATCAGAGCAACGCCTTGACCACTATGCCAGTAATCGAATTGAATAATGTTATACAAATCAAGTTCTTGTGAGAGCATTGTTCGAAATCGGATCATAAACACTTTTTGTTTCAAAATCCCCTTATATCTAATTGATGTTCGATACTCACATCTCCGAAATAATAAATGGTATTTATGTGTTGAGAAACATAGGAATATTCATGGAATATTTCATGAATATACACCACAGAATATTCAGTTGAGAATATTTCATGAATATACCGCACAGAATATTCAGTTGGGTATATTTCATGAATATACCGCACAGAATATTCAGTTTGGTATATTTCATGAATATACAACAAAGAATATTCAGTTGGGAATATTCCTGAAAGATTCATACCTGAATATTCCCTGAACATCACTTTGCAATATTCCTTTCAGATGTTCCAGAGGCATGTATATATTCTAGGAATAATCGATGAATATTCGGAATATACTCCTCCTTTTTAGCATATTTAGAGAATATTCTATGAATATCCAGTGCTGTCTGGGATAGGCACAAAAAGGCACTGTTTCCGATACTATACATAAGTACTGTGAATCATTATTACTAATATTCGTTCAGACCGAATCAACCCAGAAGTAATTCCACGTGAATGTGAGGTTAGATTACTAGACACAACGCAAATTTTCTTATGATTATTGAATAATCATATC